AGACGTATACGTATGTATACACATATATTTTAGAGTCATAAAATTGTATTGCAGATGCATACGTGCATACATAGATATTAGAGATCCCTATTTCACGTGTATGTAAATATACGTGTACACGTGTATTTTTCTATTCTACATGTTCACTGTGTAAATGATCGAAACACACTTCGGTTCTCGAAATTAAGACAAAAATTTTAATTTTTTTCTAGCTCTTCGTTTTCTTTTTTTTAAATCGCTCGATTCACGCAAAAAGCTAATAGGACATAAAAAACGCAGTCTGTACAGATCTACAAGTTTTGTTAAACATATTTTTCGATAATTTAGAAGATATTCGAGAAAATCGATTTATATTATTTATTTGTATTACTGTTTAATGTTCAACGACTTGGGGGACACGTTTTCTTGTTGACCGATCGAGCTTAAATTTTGTACCGATTATTTTTTTTAGTCAAACTATACATATATTGAATAGTTTTACGGATATCCGTGTGCACAGATCTTTAATTGCTCCACATACCACATGCCACGTGTACACGTGTATTTTAATTCGTTTAAAACCGCGATCTCTATTAGATACGCATATGCACGCATATGCCTTCGTACGGCATATTTCCTTGCACTTTTATTCATGTAATCATTTGGTATATGATTTTTGACCTTTTCATTAACGTTCTCATGTTTTCCAGCCATGATCCTGAATAAGTTTCAATTTCTCCTTACGTACATACTTATATACTTAATAATATCATTACACGTTAGCTTACACGCGTACAAAATATTTGCTACGGTATATACAGAACTTTGACCTTCAAGTCATTAAACAAATCTGTTAAGTCTTTGTCTCTTCTTTTAATTTTGAAGTTTGTAAGTTAGTTTGTTCAGTTTCTATATTCCTTTGGTGAATGGGTGTGAGGAACACTAGCTATTGGTCCCCCGTAGTTGTCGCAAGAGCACTGGTATCACCACTACTACTTTCTACTATAAGCATTACAGTTTCAGCAGCACCCCGAACACATTCTACTTGATGACCCGCCCAATCTTTACGTTGACAAAACGTAGAACAATACGGCGTTCGTCTACATAAAGAGCATTCTGCGAATGCTTCCCTGTTGCAATTAGCGCACTACAAACATAAAGGATTGATTAAACATTTTAAATGATTTTGAACAGGATTCTAAATTATCTTTTATATATTACTTTTTTGTTATGAGTATCCGATGCTGGTTGTAATCCAACAGTTTCAATAACATCTCCCCTACCTCCTAATTGGGCTACTAGCGCCTGCTCTCTTCTTTGTTGCCTATTTACTTCTTTCGCTTCTTCTAATGTTTTTCTAAACTCATAAGCCAGTTTCAGCATCTTATTTGACATTTCGTCGAGTTTTTTAAAAACATCGTCAGTTTGACCATTTTCTGTTTGATGCACATTTTGAACAACTCCATCCTGGTCTTGCGGTTGTTGAACAACCAAACCATCCGTTGAAACGAACTGTGGCCATACTTCTTTGTCGGGTATAACCACCTCACCGTCGCTTTCGTCATTGTTACTACCATCACGTGAATTATCACTTTTTATCTTTCGTGTAGGTACATCTCCGTCCGACGTATCTCTCGCTCTTTTTCTACGTTTGTAGGGTGTAAATAATCGTACCGGACCTGTCTGTAGTAATCGATACAATCATTATAGCTATCAATAATAAAATAGATAATTAGACTAGCATATTTACCGCGCTGTCGTCGTCGCAACACGCCGCGCAAGTACAAGAGGTTGCATGAGGTTTTAAAATTTGCTCGTCTATTAAGGTCTGTAAGCTTCTGCCACCGAATCTAATACTGCGCTTCCAATCCTTACTGGATGCTCTTCCACATAGTGCTTCGAATTCGCTCGGCGTATACCATTCCTGACCAAGCTTAATACACCTTCCTCTTGCTCCAGATCCGAATCTACTTTTATGTAATTCCGCATTTGTGTTTTTACACCTAACAGGCAATACTGCCAAATTAGCAGATTCTGACCAACTGCATATTTGTTGGGTATTGCCAGCAGACACATGTATCTGTTCAGATTCATGTTCCTCTGTACTATTTTGGATTACTATGTGTGTTGCTTTTAATTCTCCATTCCACCGTAGAGGATCCGAGTCCTTATCGTGTCGTGGTTCGCAAATAAACCCATTGTCCACGCATAGCATCTGCTTAAACTGGCCAGATCCAGGTAACTAAAAGATGAAGTAACATTTGTTTGAACTGCTTATTACAGATAGCATTGAGAACAGAGCAAAGCACCTTTTGTATTTGAATATTTTAGAAATGTTGTTTATAGTATTATACATCGCAAATAACTGATCAAGTTCGCGCAGGGTTACATTATAATTTCCAAAATTTCTAACATGCGTATGCGCTATGCATGTACACTGTGATTCGCGGGTACGTGTAGAAAGTGAAACCCAACCCGTTCATGGCATTCGAGAATCGTTTGTCGAAAACAAAATCGTCGAATATTAATGGAATCGAAATGTTGTTTCTGTGGCGGCATCGATCGAGGCATGCACGAATGAAAAGATTCTTGTGCAGACCGACCTGCAACTGATCCGAGGTGATGACGTTGAAGGTCGTGCCGTTGGTTGAGTTCGCTACACCGATGATAGAACCAACAGGCAAAGAAACCGGTACTCCGACTCCTGGGACACCAGCAACACCCGGTACCGAAGTGACGCTTGCCGTCACCGCGACGGGATGCGCCTCGTGTTCGGTCGTTAGGGCAGACGCCTCCTCGGTCTCGCTCGTCAACGGTTCGGACATGTCCGGTAGCACGGCGACACTTTCCGATGTTTGACTCTCCTCCATTTCGGCTGTTCTCGCCTCTCGAGCACACTATGGCGTCAGCGCACGCTCAACGCAGCGCCACGATTTTTTGATAACCGCCGACCGCCGACCGCCGCTGCGATTACTCGCGACTCGCGACACAACGGAGCACTTCGACTTCTTCGTCTTCGCCTCGGCAACTGGGCTATCAAGTTACTACGATCGAATCGAAATTACAAGTGCCTCGACCAACGAATGCAACGTTTGATAATCGTATTTTCATTCTTTTTATTCAACGATTTGCTGCTCAGAATCTTTTCCGAGCTTCCTACGCCTACGGTGTATACGAGTACGAATCTCCGACGTCGAGTGCCATCTTTAACTGCGTCGGGCAGCGCTCCGTTTGAATCTCCCTTTCCACATTACGAACGATTCAACGAAAGTCCGTCGCAGAATACTTTGGAAGATGATCTTTTCTATCGTGTTCCAAGCTACGTAAATATTATCGATTAGATTGGAAGTGAAGAAGTGATCAATTTTGCTGGAACGTATTGCATAATATTGTTGACTGTTGCAGAGACCTCTAACCTATTCTTGGTTAAGACGTTGAACGTTTCGGTAATTAGTTTCATTTATCTTAGTATCGAACGATTATCAACCTTTGATTAACTGTCATGATCCTTGAATGACTTGTTGCGTTAGTAGCTATGAATTCGAAGACTGACAGATTCTCTAATCATGGTGCACAGGGCGTTGATGTTAATTGCAGCTTAGAAGAGCTAGAGAAAGCTGGATCGGATGCATTGGGTATATCGTACATTAATTTTGAGGATATTGAAATAGATAAGAATAGGTTTTCGTTATGTTAAATATTTTTCAGAAAATTCGTTAGAGTCGAAGGAAACGGAATCGGTAACGGAATTATCGACTATTGGTACGCAGACCCCCCTAACGTTGGTTAAGCTAACTGTAACGCAGCCGCCGTTGCATAGACAAGTTACCGACTCGACATCTCCGATGCGATTTAGTTATGAAACAAGTCGCAATTTTCAAGACTCCCACGAAAATGTGAAATCTTTTGTGCGCAAACTTTTGCAGAGCAAGGTATAACGTACCCCCCTCTATTTCGAGTAATATGATTTAAATGTTTCTTTTGAATCCTATTAGGCTTTTTGTAGGTAAAAATATTAATCGATCTAAAACAAAAGGAATCATTATTATAGATCACGCTTAGCCACGAAGCTGCGACACAAGCAACGCCTACACATCCGTCGTTGATACCTAAAACATCGCAAGACACTTTACAAATGTCTGCGTCGCTTTCCTTGTCGATATCTGGTCAGAGAAATGAAGTTTTAGCTGTGACGGATTACGGGACACCGTCGCTCGATGAACGTAGTTTATTGGTGGATGGCGTCACCGAATCTGGTACATTCTGTTAACAGTTTCTTGTTCTCATCATGCGGTAGTTGTGTATCATAATGTACTGATGCGAACATATCTTTGGAAAAGACAACGAGGACTCGCAAAATTCGCATGTGCGTTCGGGCACATTAGATCCGACGTCGTCGAGCAATAGAGAAGCGACAAGTAGCATGCTGTCGTCGCTTGAAACTAGCAACCAGCAGTGGAGTCTGTCTAGCTTCTTGCAATGCGTGCCGATCGTCAACGATGAAGTATTGAAATTTTCATACTGTACACTGTAATCGGTCGCCCAGGATCCGGCTGAATAATATTCCGGGTTCGAGAGGTACATCTACGAGACATCCTGAATACATGAATCATCAGTTTTTAGCAATCAGAATGTCTATTATGACTTTTCACTTTACAGATCCGGGAAATTATTCAGCCGAGCCCTATAAGATAACAAATACTGATTGGAATAGCCAAGCACGCGTGCTCTCGCGAGAGATGCACCGCCAACGTATTCGTCGATATTTGCACGACGTCCACCAATGCGTAATTGGGGTCCATTTCGATCGGCAAATCGGTCGTCCTTTGTCGCTCCGATACCACCCCCTAGTTACGCCCAAGCACAAGAAAATTACATGGCGTCTTTCTCTATGGGTCAGCTGCTCTCTTCATATAACAGAATATCCTCGTTAGCACGTTGAAAACACAAACATGGTTTTTATATTTTACTCAGACTAAACATTTGTAGCCAACTCGAATCGACTATGGGCGCCAATACCTATGACCACTGTATGTCATCGGTGCACCTCGATCGTCGTTACAGCTGTAGAAGTTCGTCGATCCGTAATCACTCACATTACCGCCTTTGCGCTCTTTTTATGCGGGTATAACAATTTAAAAGAAATCTAAGAACAGGCGCGTCCAAGCACATTAAAGGAATCATTTGTTCACAGATGTTGGCCGTGTTGCATGTTGCCATACTGCTTGAATTCATGCAACGACATAGATCATTATTGTCCTGTGTGTAACGCGCATCTTGGAACCTACAGACCGTGCTGACAAACGTTTAGAAAAGCATTTAGAAAGTGCGCTTTCTTCGTTATCATCCTATGCATCTAACGGGTTTCACAGTCAAGAAAATATTCTGTCACCCATTGTACTAATAAAGATGGAAAGAGAGAACCTCGTTTTCAAAGATGTGTAGCGACGGTTGCATCCGAAGGAACTCAAACCTATTTAATTGCAAGCGAAGTGAAAGTAAATTTGCGGACTCCGACACGAAGACTGAGCACAATGATCAGGTGTTATAAATGGTCAATGAAATTTTTCGGCTTTCTCTGTATTTATTTACGAACCGTTTCAATGCTGGTACGTACTATATTTCAGGGACGTGACAAGCAGACCGTGTAAACGCGTCCTCGGGTATATGTATTACCTTTTCGCATCTGTTTTTCTCTCAGTTGCAGGACGATCCCTCGTCCATACGAATAAGTATCGGTTAGACTAGTAGCAGTGTTCTGTTGCTGTGTCTTTTATAACGCGATAATGCGTTTTCATTATTTTCTCGTGTTTATACTGTATGCAACTGCGACGCGCGTCGATGCTGATGCATGGAATGCTCTAAGAAGATTTACGCGTTTCTGGCAGAGGAACAATTTTCGTACGAACGAAACGTTGCCGCAGAATTTGCCAGAGAGTACATTCAAATCGTCTAACATTGGCCGAGAAAAACGCAGTAAGTATTTGTACCATTATTCCTTCTAAGCAATATTTCATTAATTTGAATTATGTATTTTTTTTTGGATCTATCGCCTAGTCTTTCCATTGTTTACCGTGGTGAGGTTCGACAATAACATTTGCGCTGGATTAAGCGGCGAAAATGGTACCTGCGTGGCAGCATCGGAATGCTCGCAACGTGGTGGCGTGTCTAGTGGGATTTGTGCGAACGGTTACGGGGTTTGTTGCATCGGTAAATTTATTATTTATTTTCCATAGTGATATTATCGCGTCGGCAAAGAATTGCAAAGAATCAGAATGCAAAACGCGACGACGCTGTTGACGTTGACTCGTCGACCGGCTTTCCCCCCACTCTATCCAATTGATTTGCCTGCCACTACGTCTGCACAGATGCATCAAACAATTGCAAATGACGCGCAGGGCGGGAAACAATCGCGCAACGGATCAGTCCGTAAGCAGCGTCGTCGTGGAAAGCGGCGATAAAGTCGATGCTAGATAACCAATAATTATTTTATTGCATCAGTAACTGTATCTTGCGGTGAAACTATTGGTGTTAACAACACTTATTTCGTTAATCCGAATTATCCGTCGAATTTCGACAGCACAGAGTCTTGTCAGTTGACTCTCGTCAAAACGCATCCGTCCGTGTGCCAGTTTAGGTACGTAAGCCCGTCAATTACGTTTGAAGGTTTAACCTGTTGTTTAGGTAGAATCGTTTAAAATTCGTTGAATTTTTAGATTGGATTTCATGCTATTTAACATAAGGGGACCGGAAGCTACGAACAATCAGTGCATTTATGATCAGTTCATCGTGTCTGGGGGAAACCCGGTGCCTCCTATTTGCGGTATCAACACTGGAAATCATAGTACGTCATTGAAATCGGCGAGGTAGCAGCATTTCGTCGACAAGTTTACCCGAATCTATATTTTTTTAGTTTACGTCGATGTTGGTATCGGGCAAACAAATCCTGTCACGCTAACGTTCGTCACAAGCGGAAGCCCTTTCGCTCGATCCTGGAAAGTCCGGGTATCCCAAATTCGTTGCGATACCATATACAGGGCCGAGGAAGGCTGTCTACAATATTTTACCGGCATATCCGGACAGATCAAATCGTTCAATTACGATCCAAACACAGGGCTGCAACTGTCGAATCAGGATTACAGTATTTGCATACGAATGGAAAGGAACTTTTGCGGAATTCAGTACATGGCGTGCACAGCCGATGGTAAGGCAGATTATCGATGGATTATATGGATGAATACGATAATTGTTAACGTTTAACGACCAGGTCAATCGATGGTAACGACCGGTGCAACTCCGGCCGGGCAAATGATGCGAAATAGCGCGTTCACGTTGACGGGAAATACGCAAGGAACGCAAATCGCTACGATGACAGGGGCTGCCTGCCAAACCGACTGGTTGACGATTCCGTGTGCATCGAACTCTGGTAAACTACCGACCGCGATGATGACTTGTATCGATCGTATTTGCGGCGGGACGTTCAACTCGGAGAATCAAAGTTTGAACTCGTCTTCCGTCGTCAGTTAGTATTTTACCTTTGACAATAAGTATCGTAACTAATTTATTCCCTAACAGCCGTTTCTAATTCTCCTCAGGCACGGTGAAACCGTTCAGATTAATTTTCCATACGGACAGTACCGAAGCACCGAACGACGTTGGAAACAGAGGATTCTGTTTGAATTACGTGCAACAACCTTGCACGACCAAGTTGCGATGAATTTCTGTTCGCTGATACTCGATCGGATCGTGTATACTGATACATGTACACAGGTAAATTTTAAAGACCAAGGAATATTAACTATTCCAATGGAAGAGAAAATACAGTCGAAGTAGTTTTTCAAACGTATTCGTACTTTATTTGTCCGCGGTAGAACGCGAACGTCACCAGAGCGATGTAAAATTTATTCTATATTAACATAACATAGTATCACAAGTAGAGATCGAAGCATGTAGTAACACAGAGGTAGGTTTAGTTCATTTATCGTTAGAAGGATCGCGATACAGTGTGTAACAATCGATAGAATCTACACACTTCCACCGCTCGTTCGCAAAGGATCACAATTTACACGCATAGACAAGTGGAAGTGATACATACGTTCCTGAACGTTCGGAGATACATGTTTGAAGACACGTCGCCGTTAAATCTGAAGCAGGCTCTAGGTTCTCGAGGTTTCTCCACTTAATTGCTCGTGGCGAATAAGAAATTTGCAGTCAAATTAGCAGTCCGTCGATGAGGTTGCGACGACAAGAAGATGATTTTGTACATTATTTAATATCCATCGTTTTAACATCTCAAGCTCGGCACCGGTACGGCGTACCGGCATAGAAATAGAAAATGAAGATTTATGCCGTACCTAAGAGCTTAAGATAAGTCTTGTTTCGCCGGCTCGATCGAACATTTCGGTCAAATTACCGGAAAGTATGCTCGAGGAGTACCAAGAAGTAGTACCGTACGTTTCAATTGGTCGATTAAAATGTTCGATCGCGTTGATACCGAAACGCGGTTCTCTTATTGTTGCGCGTCGCAGCGAACAAAGTAGACTACGATCGAGCATATAATAAAGTGCTCCACGCTCGTGCTCGTGCTCGTGAACATCAAACGAAATGTAACGAAAATAAATTCCAAGGAATCTCAATTACAGCGCGTTGACCGGACGTTCGATTTCACGTGTCGAATATTTTCGAGAGGAGTTTAAATTCTGCGGACCGATTTTAGAAGAAAAACAGTAACGACGATTTCGTCGCAACGGTTTCGATAACAGTATAAGTCAAGTCGGGAAGAGCTCGGACAGTAACGTATCGTACGAAAGACGAAGACTTAATCTTAATCGTCGACGACAACGAGATCGTAATTTATCGTTCGTCTCGAATCAGCCGGTGGAATGCCGCCGTAAAATATTTAGCACGCGTAGTCGAACGATCAGCGAACAACGCGTACAATTTGAACAAGTAAAACAAAGATTACCGAGTGTGCGGTACGGTCGAGACAAGTTTTTAACGCCGCGTTGAGCAACAGATTGTTAAGCATCGTTGTGCCTGACACAGTGAATCGCAGTGTCTTGTTTCCCTCCCACTCTAACTAAAAACGTATCCCTCGAATCGCCGTTGTATCTTACAAGATTGCGAGTAGTCGAAAGTTAAATAACTTGTAAAAAAAGACACCGAAGAAAGTTCGAATAGCATACGGTGTTCTGAAAAATTGGTCGATAGTCTGCTAGTGTGCGATCACGGTGCGAAAGTTTGCTGTAAACTGTAGTCACAAACTGACATTATTTAATACTGTATCGTATGCGAGCATGTCCATAGAATCGCGAGTGAAACTTTTATAGCCTGCACGTGCGTCGAGATCGATCAATTTTATAGACAGCTCGCGGAAAGAAAATCTCTTCGCTTCGTCGACGAGACGACCGAGACGGGGACCGAATTTCCTCGGGCACGGGTCACTTCGCGAGCTCGCGGTTTCGCGAAGCGCGTCGAAGGAACGCGGTCGGCGACTCGCGATTACATCTGGTTCTCTTTGAGGGCGGTCGCTTTCATGAAGTAAGTCAACAGGTCGATAGGCAGCGGGAACACGATCGTCGAATTTTTCTCCGCCGAGATGGTGTTCAGAGTCTGCGAACAAGCGGTAGAACGATAAGAGAATCGATCGGGCAAGGACTTTCGAGGTGGTCCGATCGGTGCGTACCTGCAGGTAGCGAAGCTGCAGCGCGGCAGGAGAGTCTCCGATCACCTCGGATGCCTCCCTCAACGCGCGACTAGCCTTTTGTTCACCCTCTGCTGCGATCACCTGCAATCGAAGCGAGCGCATTACGCGAGAGATTCGAAAGTGGCGGCGAGATAAAGGGACAAACCTTGGCGCGAGCCTCTCGAGCGGCTTCAGCTTCCGCGGCCATGGCTCTTTGGAGCTGAACGGGTAGCCTGACGTCCTTGCTGTCCAACAAGAAGGTACAACGGATTAGAGAACAGACTCGGAGGAACGTCGGGTCGATTCGTATTCGTATCGGTACTCACATTTCCACGCGCTCTACTTTGATTCCCCAAGTGTCGGTAGCCTCGTCCAGTGATACCTGAATTCGTCGGATTCGTTATGCTCGCTTAAGGCTCAAGGGCTGCCTCGAGAGGGGAGAGATCGTTTAGATCGGCCGATTACCTGCATGTTCCCTGAGATGGTTTCGCGCTCGCTGAGGATCTCGTGAAGCGGTCTGGTGCCCATGGTGTTCCGAAGCATTGTCTGGGCCAGCAGCCTCGTGCTGTGATGAGCATTCTCGACGTTCGCGATCGAGATCGTCGCGTTGTTCACTCGATAGTACACCACCGCGTCCACCGACACCGTCACGCTGTCTTTCGTCAAGACCTGCCGCGATACAGAGTCCGATTACTTTTTGATCGTTGGCGAGGCCAACGCGGCGGCGCTTCGTCTACCGTGGCAATTTAAAGCCTCGACCAACAATTCACCTCTTGCGGGGGCACGTCGTAGGTGCGCGTCCGTAGATCGACGCGAGCGTAATTGTCGACGCACGGCAGAATGAAGAAGATTCCTGGAAGTTTCAGAATTTTTATTCGAAAACGCGAACTCTCTCTCGTGGAGAACTGTTTGATCGAGAAGGAAGAACGTTACCAGGTCCTTTGGCACCGCCGGTCAAGAGCCTTCCCAAACGGAATATCACCGCTCTTTCGTACTCTTGCACCACCTGCGAACGAACCGTTGGAAAACCGTCAGCCAGGCGTAAGCGTTCCACTTAATAAAGGATAAACGGTGTGTTCTGGTTCGCAGGAAGCGTGGACCCGGCGATAAGGAGCTGCGACCGATTTCCATCGAATCGAATAACGACCATGGAGGGAGAACGGCGGGATAACGGGAAGTGAATGGACGCCGGAGCATCCGCTGGAGATCGCAACGAACTCGAGGAACGAGAATAGAATCCGGTGAGTGGACGACCGATATTTTTAGATTTGTAGTACGTCGATGAGGGGGCCGCGGTACGTTGTCGATAGAATAAGACCAGGGGAAACGCGATTCTCTCACCTTGAAGCAGATGAAGAGGGAAAACGGCATCGTTAAGATTACGACCATCCAGGATAGTGCCACTAGGATATTCCTGCAGTTATTCGGGGTATCCGGTTCCTGTCTATCGTCCGCTGGAACATTCGATGCGTCGCTGTTAGAATTGATTGCGATTATTCCGGTAGCCTGGTCGCGCGCGCGCGCGCGAGAGAGAGAGAGAGAGAGAGAGAGCAAAGCGCTTCAACAGGGTGGAAGCGGCCGGATCTAGTGCCGCGATAGCGGGTTGTTGTTGCCGGTTCATCGTAAAAGCTGTCGCGTGTTCTAGGGGCTCTTTCGCGATCGAACGATTCGATAAATAATTGGCTCGATTAGTCCCAACGGAGGGGACGAGGAGTCGAGAGTCTTCCGAAAGTACCGCGACAGCCTACTCGACGGCATGTTATTCGACGATAGCGTCGAGTTTTCGTTGTCATCGAGACGGTCGGAAGCTCGGCTCGTAAACGAGAACCGATGCGCTCTGGATCTATAAATTCCTACGTCGCCTACGATATTAGCAGACCGATTCGGAGCGACCTGTTTCGATGCTTGCAAAATATTCCGAGGTGGAATATAGAAATTGTCGCTATTGTCGGGGTAATTTCGATGTTGATATATCTAGAGTGACACGGTTTCTCCGTCCCATTAGTCTAACGAACTTGCTCGAATTCCAAAAATATCCCGTTAGCTTTAATCGACGTTCCGCCGTTGAATAATTAACATCTCCGGTGGCGGCGGACACGGAGCGTTGCCCGTTGCTCGCGGGGTTCGCTCGTTCGTTTCTCCGCAATTACGATTTAAGAGTAGACCACGACGGAGATGCGTATTTATAGCGGTGTTTATTTTTCTTATTGATTGTACAAATGGTCGGTTCTCGCTCGGATCGATATAAACGCTGTGTGTAAAACCTACATTCGGGAAGCGATGGCTCGGTGGCGATAGATTACCGGGAGATCCTACGTTACATAATGGAATTGTCCTCGATGGGGCCGCGATATACGGAGTCGCGTTGTCCCGTTGGGATCCATTCCCGATGACTAATCAAAGCTGTCGAGTCTCGAGAAGAGCGTCGAGGGAAATTAGCAGCGAATTTCTAAATGCGCGCGTCGACGTATCGTCGTCGTTGTTCCACTGCACTCTCCTCGGAATCACGGGGCAACCGGTCGACGAGAAGTTCGTCCACGAGATCCCGATAACTCGCGGTCCACGCAGCTTACCGTCCGTCATGTCGACGCGGCTGTTCGCGAATCCGATGATCGAACCAGCACCTTGCGAATCGTCCGAAGTACGTATCTCCGAAGTCCAGGCAAACGGAGAAGGGTGCCGGATAGATTGTCGTTCCACGAGGGAACGGAACGAGGCTGCTCGAACCGTAGTTTGCGTCGGACGATTCACTGAGAGCAGTGGCTGCTCGGTTTATGTTTAACCAGCCACATTGGAAAGGTCTCACCCTCTCTCCCTCCCTCGCTCGCGACTGCACCTCTAGCTCGCCCTCTCCGTCTCTCTCTCTCTCTCTCTCTCTCTCTCTCTCTCTCTCTCTCTCTCTCTCTCTCTCTCTCTCTCTCCCCCTATGAATCTGTCCATTCGCGTGCATCTTTTGCCAACGCTCTGTCTCGCTTCGGCGAGAACGGCATGCGCGAAATGCGCGCAACCACCCCTTCCAGCCATAGCCGGTATACTCCTCTGTCGTTCCTCCCAGAGGAACTGTGGATTTAAATCGTTCGATCACCGGAAAACGATGCTCGATCGTCGGTCCAGTCGCGATCGTTCTCGACATCGCTTTCGCGCGACCGCTTGTCGCGAAGAGATCGCGAATCCGAGATTTTCTGCTGTTCTCTATCAACATCCGGTTTAGCGGAGCGATCGTCGCGGTTGATCGTACGTATGCTCGGCAATCAAATTGCCGGTTGGCCTATGAAATATGCAGCACGCGAGGAAGCTCGATGAATATTAAAACAGAAACGGCGACGTTTTCACGCGACAGCCGCGGGAACCTGGTTATTATCCGAAGTACCATTGTCGTTCCATAGGCTTATCGAGATTCCATCGCTTCGCACGACTACTCGTGGTTTCGATGCAAACTCCGTAGACGCTACAGTTCGAACCGCGACGACGCGCTTTAATTTCTAGACGCGTTTCGCGATCGATTTATACTTGGGAACAATTTACCGATTGTGCTTATAGCCGGTCGACGGCGATCTATAGGCAAGGTGAATGTTAGGCGACCCAAGTTCACCTGTGCAATGCAACGGACGACTTCNGAGAGAGAGAGAGAGAGAGAGAGAGCAAAGCGCTTCAACAGGGTGGAAGCGGCCGGATCTAGTGCCGCGATAGCGGGTTGTTGTTGCCGGTTCATCGTAAAAGCTGTCGCGTGTTCTAGGGGCTCTTTCGCGATCGAACGATTCGATAAATAATTGGCTCGATTAGTCCCAACGGAGGGGACGAGGAGTCGAGAGTCTTCCGAAAGTACCGCGACAGCCTACTCGACGGCATGTTATTCGACGATAGCGTCGAGTTTTCGTTGTCATCGAGACGGTCGGAAGCTCGGCTCGTAAACGAGAACCGATGCGCTCTGGATCTATAAATTCCTACGTCGCCTACGATATTAGCAGACCGATTCGGAGCGACCTGTTTCGATGCTTGCAAAATATTCCGAGGTGGAATATAGAAATTGTCGCTATTGTCGGGGTAATTTCGATGTTGATATATCTAGAGTGACACGGTTTCTCCGTCCCATTAGTCTAACGAACTTGCTCGAATTCCAAAAATATCCCGTTAGCTTTAATCGACGTTCCGCCGTTGAATAATTAACATCTCCGGTGGCGGCGGACACGGAGCGTTGCCCGTTGCTCGCGGGGTTCGCTCGTTCGTTTCTCCGCAATTACGATTTAAGAGTAGACCACGACGGAGATGCGTATTTATAGCGGTGTTTATTTTTCTTATTGATTGTACAAATGGTCGGTTCTCGCTCGGATCGATATAAACGCTGTGTGTAAAACCTACATTCGGGAAGCGATGGCTCGGTGGCGATAGATTACCGGGAGATCCTACGTTACATAATGGAATTGTCCTCGATGGGGCCGCGATATACGGAGTCGCGTTGTCCCGTTGGGATCCATTCCCGATGACTAATCAAAGCTGTCGAGTCTCGAGAAGAGCGTCGAGGGAAATTAGCAGCGAATTTCTAAATGCGCGCGTCGACGTATCGTCGTCGTTGTTCCACTGCACTCTCCTCGGAATCACGGGGCAACCGGTCGACGAGAAGTTCGTCCACGAGATCCCGATAACTCGCGGTCCACGCAGCTTACCGTCCGTCATGTCGACGCGGCTGTTCGCGAATCCGATGATCGAACCAGCACCTTGCGAATCGTCCGAAGTACGTATCTCCGAAGTCCAGGCAAACGGAGAAGGGTGCCGGATAGATTGTCGTTCCACGAGGGAACGGAACGAGGCTGCTCGAACCGTAGTTTGCGTCGGACGATTCACTGAGAGCAGTGGCTGCTCGGTTTATGTTTAACCAGCCACATTGGAAAGGTCTCACCCTCTCTCCCTCCCTCGCTCGCGACTGCACCTCTAGCTCGCCCTCTCCGTCTCTCTCTCTCTCTCTCTCTCTCTCTCTCTCTCTCTCTCTCCCCCTATGAATCTGTCCATTCGCGTGCATCTTTTGCCAACGCTCTGTCTCGCTTCGGCGAGAACGGCATGCGCGAAATGCGCGCAACCACCCCTTCCAGCCATAGCCGGTATACTCCTCTGTCGTTCCTCCCAGAGGAACTGTGGATTTAAATCGTTCGATCACCGGAAAACGATGCTCGATCGTCGGTCCAGTCGCGATCGTTCTCGACATCGCTTTCGCGCGACCGCTTGTCGCGAAGAGATCGCGAATCCGAGATTTTCTGCTGTTCTCTATCAACATCCGGTTTAGCGGAGCGATCGTCGCGGTTGATCGTACGTATGCTCGGCAATCAAATTGCCGGTTGGCCTATGAAATATGCAGCACGCGAGGAAGCTCGATGAATATTAAAACAGAAACGGCGACGTTTTCACGCGACAGCCGCGGGAACCTGGTTATTATCCGAAGTACCATTGTCGTTCCATAGGCTTATCGAGATTCCATCGCTTCGCACGACTACTCGTGGTTTCGATGCAAACTCCGTAGACGCTACAGTTCGAACCGCGACGACGCGCTTTAATTTCTAGACGCGTTTCGCGATCGATTTATACTTGGGAACAATTTACCGATTGTGCTTATAGCCGGTCGACGGCGATCTATAGGCAAGGTGAATGTTAGGCGACCCAAGTTCACCTGTGCAATGCAACGGACGACTTCTCGAGACCGAGTAGCCGATCGATCGCCGACCGGTTCTACTTGCCGGGCCTAAAATCGAATCTATAGGATACGAGACGTTCGAAGTGGTTCTCACCGTTGAAAGATCGATCGGAGAGATCGTTGGCTATCGTCGAAAGGGGTACGATACGACCGCGAATCTGGAATACACCGGAAGTTCCGGCGAACGGAGAATGATCGACGACCTTTCCCCTTTCCACGTGTACACGTAGATGCATGCGCGTGTATAATGCACATTCGATTCTTGGGCATATTAGTTGCTGCGCCTAATGGAAAGTTTGACCTTCTTTACACCTGCGTAATATTTCATAGGATGGACAGAGCCCGCTCGTTCCTATAAATACATCGATCCCCGAAAGAAACGCCAGGTACACGTAAGCGTACCTGTACAAATTACGCCATGAATCTCGACGCCTCGTCTCTTCTCGCTCTTTTACCGTGTATCATCGATGCTTCTCGTTTCTGCGAACCGTAGACTCTAGATCGTACGTACACCATAGAGGACCAGGGTCGCGCGCAAACTACTCACCCCCGATGACGCGGTTCTGTATGTCGTCCGGCCGCGAGTTAATCTGTATCGTGGATCCGTTTCCATTGCTTATGGTAGACATAGGAATTGACATATCAGGGTTCACTCGGTGCTCCAATCTTGAAACCTGGAAAAACGAGCAAAGCATACGGTTCGCGTGATACGCATTAATTGCTCGATCGTACGTCGGATCGGTTGATTCGCACCGACGAGACAGCAACGCGCGGATTTACCTTCATGAAAATGCTAAGCGATCGTCGGGAACGAACGTGTTTTCGAGCGTAGCCTATGCCTCGTTCAAAGGACCATCGCGTTAGAATGCGAGCTTACGCGAACAGCAGCGTGCACATGTGTCGCGCGATACCACCGTGCTCGTGGAAAGCCTCGAGGTCCTGACAACGTGAATTCGAATTCGAATTGGAACATGTTCTCAACGACGCTCTCTACACGTATACGTTTGCTCAGCTTTCGACGACGAGGACGACGATGCGGACGCGCGTCGGAAGCTGAACGAGAAGGATGCCAACGCGTTCGGTGCAGTCAATTCGCAACCCCCAACCGATGCCAAAACGTCGAATCCGTCGAATCGACGTTGAACGAGTAGGCTAAAGGATATCTTGCACCGAAGCTTGCGCCGAACGCGTTAACGATCGGAGAACGCGCGGTGCCCGGTTCTTTCGATCGTGTCGCTCTCGCGGCCGGGTTATCGAGACGCGACGAGCACAAACGAAACAAAACAAAATACAGTAATCACCTTATGCGTTGATCGTGTCGCGTCGTCGGGTGTACTAACGGTCCGAATGAAGCCAGCGGCGCGACGCTGACACTCTTTATACGAGGGCGGCCGCCGCCCCAACTAGTAGTACGGGCGATTCACGTACCTATGTACATGTACGTATAATATGTGCAATCGGACGGACGATCGCTGTCCGATATAGTACGTAATACGCGATCGTTCACCGTTCTCGTGGAATCGAAGTTATTCTTGAATTTGCACGAATTCGATTCGAAACGAACCGATACAAAGAAAACATTTGTAATCCGTTACAGAAGATCGGGATTGCCGCAAACGCGACGAATCCACGGTCTAATTATAGTTTACGCGGAGAGAATTCACTTAGCCTTGCATCGAGTTTCAGTCCGAAACGCGTTACGCAACCGCGACAAAAATATTCCGCTATCGCACGAAACCACCGTGCACTTCGTTGCATTTGTCGTATTTAGAGCACGGGTCGAAGTTGGGGCGCGAGCGGCGAAGCATCGTCGTGCTCGTTCTCGTCGAACAGAGATATTACTCGGCGTCTTTATGGAACACGCGAATTCCTTGGTCATCGCGACACAGGTTTCGTTTCGATCGGGTTCGTCGACAAGTTCTAGGAACAAAGAGCAAACCAGGATCGATTCGGAGCACATGTTTATTAACATACTCTCCATGTTCGTAACAAGATTACTATGTGATAAATCGCGCACCCCGATGCGGTAGAAATGAGTCTTAATTGTAAATGACATCCAGACGACGTCGTTCTGCTCGACGACGATTCACGCACGAATTCTTCTTCAGGATACACTGTGTAACAAGAGAGAGAGATAATTATATATGTATGTATATATATATATAAAAATGCACTAACGTTGTATCGGTCGATCTCGTGCTCGATTCGCGGAGCGAGGGTGACGAATACACTTGATTCTGAACGACGCGGCAGTATTCGTTATTGGATCACACTGTTTCTTCCGTTTGCTCTGCGGTGCACGCGTCTACGCCTTCAATAATGCTTCGTTGATGAAACGCATCGAGCTGTCCTCGTTCGACTTTTTCTTATCAAGATCGTCGGGATCGCGAACAGAATCTTGCGGACCGAAGGGTTTCACCCTTTTCGGGAAAACACCCGACAATGTCACCGCCGTATGCGTTCCACCGACGATGAACGCGAGCGCGCGAAAGTATTTTTTAGGCAAATTATCGTTATCGTTATCGTTATTACTATTACTATCATTATCATTATCATTATCATTATTATTATTATTATTATTATATTATAATTGCGACGCGCGCATCGATAGATCTATCGTACGACGCGATATAAACACGACACGTTCCGGACGCTAGTTTTGGTCTCTTGTCACTGCGACTGGACAGCACCAGCTGGGGCGATGTCGTGGATATTCTTTTCAAATACTGGCTCATAATTTCCATATACACTCGTCTCGTCACCGATCTCGATCGATACGGCGGTGTTCGGCTATCGCCCGGCTACTTAAAATGCGAGTCCTGCTTCGGAGTACGTGGTGAAGATCTTCTCGATCGAGTTGACGTAAGCCGCTGTCCTCAGATCCAAGCCGAGATTGAACTTCATCGAAGTTTTCATGATGGCCTGCGGAACAAGAGTCAGAGAGAGCGAGACTTGGGGTTGAGGTATTGGGAATCGAATGGGGATGTAATCGTTCGAATAGATACCCTTGCCGATCGTTCCATCGTGTAGTCCAAACCAGAATGAACGATGTCCTTCTCGGAAGCACCGGAAATGCGTTTCTGGAACGCCTCGGAGGGTGTTACGGGTATTCGACCACCCACGCGGCCGAACCTACGTTCCAACGACTCTTGCACGGATTCTGGAAAACGAACGCGTCCTGGTTAGAACTTGCGAGACCCGCGCGAGCCCTGCGAGTCGCCAGCAAACTCACCCAACAAATGATAGTTCGATTCTCTCTCGTATTTGAACGTGAGACGACCGTACGACACGTGGTTCAGGTTCTTGAGCCACTCGAAGAAGGACACGGTAACACCACCGGCGTTGATGTACAAGTCCGGTATCACGAGAATATTTCTGTCGATCAAGATTTTATCGGCGGCAGGGGTGGTTGGTCCGTTGGCAGCTTCGGCTACGATCTTAGCCTGCGAAAGGGAAATCGAATGGAAAAATTGTCGTTGCCATCGTCGATCGAGGACTCCGGAAACCATCGACTCGCCTGTATCAGCGAAGCGTTGTCTTTGGTAATAACTTTCTCGATCGCGGCCGGTATAAATATGTCGCAGGGCTCGTACATGAGATTTTCACCTTCGTACGGCTTGGCACCAGGGAAGCCAACGATAGTGCCATTTTCTATGCGATAGTCTTCCAGTTGCTGAACAACGAAACAATCTTATTAACGATATTACGTCGTCGCCGATATTGTTCCGTCCACCGAGAGACAGATGTATGCGACGCGTTACTTGCCTTGGGGTCGATGCCTTCCGGATTGCAGATTGCACCGTCATGCTCGATCACGCCTATGCAGGTGGCTCCGGCTCGGTGCAGGTAACGCATCGAGTGCAGACCGACGTTACCGAAACCTTGCACGATGAACGTTTTGCCTCCCCAGCCCGGTGTGGTGCCTACGGCCGATCGAATCGATCCGTACAGACTATTCGCCGTTGGGCAACCATATTCTCTAGCCATCTTCCTCTGTTCCGCGTTACCACGCGCACAACTCGTTCGCGTATCTTTTTTTAGACAACGAGAGGAGCGTGCGCGATACCACGATGCGCGGGACAGAGGACGAATTGGGTACAGTAATGTCTCTCTAATCAAAAATGGACAATTTAGGATGCGGAGATACGATTATTCGAGCCTTGCGGATCGTTTTTATAGTCACGAATATTGTCGACAACTACAAAAACGAGCTGCGAGGCTCGAACAATTGTATTTCCTCTTCTGAAATTGTCCATTTTTGTGCGCAATCCGAGCGTCAGTTACGGAGACATTACTGTAATCGCGATTCACCCACCGATCATGCTCATGTAATTCGCCTCGTTGATGAAGTTCTCCAGCCCGTGGAAGACCCCGCGACCTGTCGCCGATATTCGTCCGTGAATTCCGCCCTGGTTGATCGGTTTCCCGGTGACGCAGGCGTGGGCGTTGATGTCCAAGTGGCCGATCGTCTTGGCGTATGTGTCCGCGATCCAAGACATCTCGCGTTCGCCGGTTCCCATGTCGGGGGCNGAAACAATCTTATTAACGATATTACGTCGTCGCCGATATTGTTCCGTCCACCGAGAGACAGATGTATGCGACGCGTTACTTGCCTTGGGGTCGATGCCTTCCGGATTGCAGATTGCACCGTCATGCTCGATCACGCCTATGCAGGTGGCTCCGGCTCGGTGCAGGTAACGCATCGAGTGCAGACCGACGTTACCGAAACCTTGCACGATGAACGTTTTGCCTCCCCAGCCCGGTGTGGTGCCTACGGCCGATCGAATCGATCCGTACAGACTATTCGCCGTTGGGCAACCATATTCTCTAGCCATCTTCCTCTGTTCCGCGTTACCACGCGCACAACTCGTTCGCGTATCTTTTTTTAGACAACGAGAGGAGCGTGCGCGATACCACGATGCGCGGGACAGAGGACGAATTGGGTACAGTAATGTCTCTCTAATCAAAAATGGACAATTTAGGATGCGGAGATACGATTATTCGAGCCTTGCGGATCGTTTTTATAGTCACGAATATTGTCGACAACTACAAAAACGAGCTGCGAGGCTCGAACAATTGTATTTCCTCTTCTGAAATTGTCCATTTTTGTGCGCAATCCGAGCGTCAGTTACGGAGACATTACTGTAATCGCGATTCACCCACCGATCATGCTCATGTAATTCGCCTCGTTGATGAAGTTCTCCAGCCCGTGGAAGACCCCGCGACCTGTCGCCGATATTCGTCCGTGAATTCCGCCCTGGTTGATCGGTTTCCCGGTGACGCAGGCGTGGGCGTTGATGTCCAAGTGGCCGATCGTCTTGGCGTATGTGTCCGCGATCCAAGACATCTCGCGTTCGCCGGTTCCCATGTCGGGGGCGGGTACGTCCACGCCAGGCCCTGAACATAAATTATGGTGGTAACGCGTTGCTTTCAAGTTCGTTTCGTCGATCGATCGTCGAACGGAAATCGTTGGCTCGGACACGATTAGCGGGCTCGCGAGTCTAAGCCAACGCTCGAGATAGCATCTGACCAGACAAGACGCGAGCAAACAGTTTCTTGAAAACAGACGGATTACGAAATATATCCCGCGATCACGATACGCTCGTGGATCGAGCGCCGCTTCGCAGCTGCTTCGAATATGCAACGCTGAGCAAACATATTTTACAATTTGCAGTTTAAGCGTGTGCAGCATGGAAGTGCCGCGAGCGAGCGGGAGGGAAATGAAATCGTTCGGAACGTGTTCCGTCTCACCGATGAATCCCTTCTTCGCGAGCTCCAACGTGAATCTTCTGGTGATCTTCTCGAGCTCGTGTTCGGAATACAATTTTGGATTAATCTTGATACCGGCTTTGGCGCCTCCGAAGGGGACGTCCACGCAGGCGCATTTGAACGTCATCAGCGCGGACAGAGCCTTCACCTCGTCCCTCGAAACGTCCATCGAGAAACGGATACCTGAAACGATTCGACGATTCGTGAAATGATTCGACGATGCGAACAACGGACAGCAACATTTTCGATACGATCTTGCCAGATCATGCCGCGATCGTGCTAAATATATACACGGCTATAGCCCGGATATATAACGGAACGAATGCGCGGAGCGGCAATTTTTGTTCTCGGAGAGAATACGATCGATAAATAACGCGACTCGTGCAAGAATGCTCCGCGCGTTTGTTCGAGTCGCGGGATCGTTTTTACGATCGGCCGATTACAAAGCGTCGCGAAGCTCTCGTCGCTCGCCGCGAGCCAGTCGGTGGAAAAGGGTTTCGCCTCGCGGAAACATCGTTATCTAAAATTAGCTTTCGGTTTCGTCGACAATTACGCAATAACCCCGACTGCCGAGCCTTTCTAGAGCCCCGAGAAACTCGAAATTCATTCCGTTTTCCGAAGGTCGCGCGCGATAGCGATCGCGCACCAGCATCCAGGCGAACCGTGCACTTAACTTGACGCCGGCACGTGCCAAGCCGTAATTGCATCCAGCAATCATTCCGTGTATTATAATGTCGTGTGCCGTCGGTTGATTCGCGACAAAGCCAGCGAGCGAAGGGTTTATTTTTATAGCGGAAAGAAGCGGCGCGGAAACGAATGGTCGTCGATCGGTGAAAACGCGGGCAGCGGCGTATACTGTATACTACATAACATACATATTACGCACGCGTTATCGTTCGAAAATAGTCACACGACGACAGCTACATAGTCAGAGTCCTGCCCGTAGTCGGGCGACCTCGTTAATGACTTTGGCAAACAACAGCTGGAAGATAAGACGCGAGTATTCGGGCGCGGCTTGATTTTTCAATCTGTCGGTCGAGAAACGTGGAATTTCGAGTACCCGCGAACACGATAATCCACGATCGCGGCCAAGATCGATGATTTTTCCAATTGCGGCCCGACGTTGCTTGCGAGATCGCGAAGTATTTCGATGAGAAACGTTGAACAACGAATTCGATGTAGGAGAAGGAGGCGCGTTAAATAGATGAAATTAAATAGATATCGCAATTAACGAGACACAGTTCGAACGCGGGTGATCCCGCGTAGATCAAGAGCGCGCGAGAGAAGAAAATATGGATGATTTATCGAGCTCGGGGCTAGGCACGCGGGCCATTGACCCGAAGACATCGTGACATTGGCACGAGATACCGGCGATCGCCAAAACTCTCGATTTAAAATGCGAATCAGCGTTTGTCAGGTTGGTTACCTAACGTTTGGCAGCTCGGCCGACGAAAATGGTAGACAGCTTGGCATCGGACACACACAGCGTCACTTTGCTCGTCGAAATATCTTCTAACTATACAGCGAAAAATGATTCAATCTCCTTGCGCGTCATCCTCTGCCATATTTCGAGTAGGCGAACGACAAAGATAACGAAGAGAACCGCGATGCGACCGATGCATAACCGAAGCAGAGCCGAAGCAACGAGGCACAGGTGACTGTGCCTCGTAAGGCGGGATAAACAAAGTAATTATAATGATCGATCGATGACTAGCCGCGTGGAACGATCATCCAGCAGAATCTGTTTATTTGGCTAGCGAAACCATTCCTCCCGCGATCCTCTAGCACGCGCGCGAGATCACCTCTTTGCTAATCACGAGCTCGTACAAATTTACATCAAGGAGATAACGCGATGCGGACGAACGGACGGGCGAACGAACGAACGAACGAACGAACGAACGAACGAACATTTTTCCCGATGGTCGGTTTCACCAATTAAAAAATTTTGTTCGCACGAACAGCAAATTAAAACCGAGCGCGCCTTAATCGGTGTAACGTAATCACCGTGGACAGGGTTTCTCCGAAACGCGGACCAAACATAAACGTTCGCGCGTTATCGTTCTGAAAATTGCTCGTAATTTGATAAGAGAAGGTAATAAGAGAGCTTCTTACTACGTGAGCTACGTAACAGCAATTCTATTATTTTCGTCTAATGCAAGTACCGGCAACGATAATAGAACGGTAAACGTCGAATAAATGCAAATACCCTGATTCATAGACTCGTTAATAAATATATCGAATAGACGAGATAGCGGGAATGATATCGCCGGCAAGAGCGACGAACTGTTATTATTATATAGTGCTCCCTAAGAAGAACGGAATCGAGGTAATAAGGAAATCGCTTTAACCGAAAGTGGATCGAATTGAAAATATCGAAATACCGATCGATGAAGACTGGTCGATTCGTGTCGATTACGTCATAAACTACGTACTGTATTATACATATTCAAATGTTTCCCCGCGTTAATTTTATGCGACTCGAGTCACGTGTTTGCGAGTGTTGATATTCTACATTGTAATTGCGGTAAAACAAGTAATCGATCGGTAGTTGAACACGAACAGAAAGTTGCAAATATTCATCCGATAAATTTGGCGGGCGTAATTTTCTTCTCTATGTGGAAACGAGGTTAAAACCGTGTTGTATATCGTGTGCGTCCGAAGCCGTAAAATCGACCTAAGTGTCGCGAGTTTAATCGCGTACGCTCGGCATACGAGAATACCTAAAAGTAACCGGCAAAACGGAGCTTGACCGGGGGAACATCCGCGAAAGAACATCCTTTCTGGACATCCAGCACGAATTTCATCCGATTCGCTGTCGTGCACGGAACGTTTCGATGCCGTCATCGATGACGTAATTAATATGCGCTTAGCAATATCGGATTCAAACGGCAGCGAGCGCTCGCCTGAAAAAGATAGGAACAACCGGCTCTGTTCGAGAATTAGGCCGAAAAACAATGAAAACACAAGGGTTATCGTTGATGCGGGCATGGTGAAAACAACAGTCGGTTTCAGTGATTTTACCTCCTTTGCAAGGTGTTCTATGGGTCGAATGCTGAGCACGATAACCGGTGATCATCTCATAGTCGCCAGAGTCGCGTCTCAAGGGGAACACTGTCTCGAGGATGTGATCACATGGTTCCATCAGCATCAGAATACCCTTCACCTTTTTCTTTCTCTCCTCGACGCTCATCCTAGAACGTTTGCCGATATCTTCGACCAGCTTGTCCTCGACGATCTGACAGGCACGGTGGAAGAAGTATTCGACCATGTCGAAGAACTTTGGATTAGGATCCGTTGGAATATCCTTGAGACGATCGGGTATCTGATGGTCGGCGTAACCGCGTGCTTGCAACGCCGGCATAGTGCGTATTAGCGTCTTGTGAATAATATCATTGTTTGTCGGTACTTGTTTCAACGCGATCGACGACCTCGTTAATCTTCTTACGTGAAACATTTTCCGTCGTTCGATCCTCTGGACGTCCACCGATAGTTCAGGCTTCCGCTGTCAACCGAAACACCAAAAGACTATGACTATGTGGCTCGTGTAGCGTACTCGACTCTTACTGTACCCGTACTCGTACTCTCCCCGAATGCCACCGAATGCCCAATCCCAGTTCTTCCTACTATGTACCGCCAGAACCACCGCTCTCTCTCTCTCTCTCTCTCTCTCTCTCTCTCTCTCTCTCTCTCTTTCTCTCTCTCTCCTCGCTCTCTTTTTCTTTCTCTATTCCCCTCTTCCTCACTCGTCCTCAGTCACGCCTGTGTTCCTCGCGATCCCGTCACCCCGTCGATACTCCGTCTCTCAGCCGACTGCGCGAGCTAACGTCTTCCTTTAATACCGATCGAAACAATCTAGCCTTTCCTCCACGTTCCGGATTCCGGACACGACTCTTCCGTGCTTCTACCACACCTTACTCCGTTCTTTGCCGACCAGTGCTGGCCAACCAGTCCAATCGTTGTAATTTCAGAGCCAAAAGATCTAGCCAATCGTCGAAATTTTCTGAGAAACCAGACCTCCAACGAAATTCTACCGACGTTCCCCTAGTAAATCTGCTTACCATCGGTTCGGTTCGAAACCGAAACATGTATCAACCATAAACGAGGTGTACGAGTAGACCGATCACCCGGTGTATTTTTTCCGTCGGTAAACACACTGCAGCGCCATCTACGGTAAAATGCTCAAGCTACTAGTTAATTAGTATCGTTCTTGCGTCTCCAGATGTCGCAAACGATATTTTCTTGGTGCTCGGTTTAAAAAAATGAATACTTTCAAAGACGACAAATAAACGTACGCTCTGTTGTTGCTTGATATTTGATTAAACTTTCTTGTACCGATTACACATTTACAATAATTTACATCTTTTTTTCGTATCGAATTTCCATGGGAGGGTTCAAGAAGTTGCAAGCGACATCACTATCTCACAGGAACAGCATGATTGTGGTACTAACTGGCAGTAGTATAGCTGATTTACTGTAGGTGGTGATATGTATTTTTGACAACACATTATCAGAACACATTACAAAAAAAGCACAAGTTAGAAATGTGGCGATCAACGATTGCAATCTATCGTTGCCTCAAGGGAATTCCTCTGATAATCTGATAACGTTAAATGAAAATCGCAATTTTATTTTGCTTGCCTACCACAGATATATTTTTTAAAATGTCTTTTATATCATCGACTTTTATCGCATAAGCAAAAGTTGTTTCCCCGGTGGCTCAGTGATTTTCTTATTTACATGAAAAACTTAAAATCAAAGAACGAAAGATTAATTGCGGAAGCAATTAATCTGACTATATATTATTTTTAGGACTAGAATAAACTGGCAGTTTATCCGCCTAACTTTTCGCTTTCTTATCACTGAATCTGATAAGTTTATCTCACTATAACATCGTCGAGGCACGAGTAATGCAATTTTTATACAAATATTTTTCAATAACATTTATATGTGTTATCGAGCACCATTTATACAAAATCAAAGAACCTGTGCAGTACTCGAGTCATGTNCTCTCTCTCTCTCTCTCTCTCTCTCTCTCTCTCTCTCTCTCTCTCTTTCTCTCTCTCTCCTCGCTCTCTTTTTCTTTCTCTATTCCCCTCTTCCTCACTCGTCCTCAGTCACGCCTGTGTTCCTCGCGATCCCGTCACCCCGTCGATACTCCGTCTCTCAGCCGACTGCGCGAGCTAACGTCTTCCTTTAATACCGATCGAAACAATCTAGCCTTTCCTCCACGTTCCGGATTCCGGACACGACTCTTCCGTGCTTCTACCACACCTTACTCCGTTCTTTGCCGACCAGTGCTGGCCAACCAGTCCAATCGTTGTAATTTCAGAGCCAAAAGATCTAGCCAATCGTCGAAATTTTCTGAGAAACCAGACCTCCAACGAAATTCTACCGACGTTCCCCTAGTAAATCTGCTTACCATCGGTTCGGTTCGAAACCGAAACATGTATCAACCATAAACGAGGTGTACGAGTAGACCGATCACCCGGTGTATTTTTTCCGTCGGTAAACACACTGCAGCGCCATCTACGGTAAAATGCTCAAGCTACTAGTTAATTAGTATCGTTCTTGCGTCTCCAGATGTCGCAAACGATATTTTCTTGGTGCTCGGTTTAAAAAAATGAATACTTTCAAAGACGACAAATAAACGTACGCTCTGTTGTTGCTTGATATTTGATTAAACTTTCTTGTACCGATTACACATTTACAATAATTTACATCTTTTTTTCGTATCGAATTTCCATGGGAGGGTTCAAGAAGTTGCAAGCGACATCACTATCTCACAGGAACAGCATGATTGTGGTACTAACTGGCAGTAGTATAGCTGATTTACTGTAGGTGGTGATATGTATTTTTGACAACACATTATCAGAACACATTACAAAAAAAGCACAAGTTAGAAATGTGGCGATCAACGATTGCAATCTATCGTTGCCTCAAGGGAATTCCTCTGATAATCTGATAACGTTAAATGAAAATCGCAATTTTATTTTGCTTGCCTACCACAGATATATTTTTTAAAATGTCTTTTATATCATCGACTTTTATCGCATAAGCAAAAGTTGTTTCCCCGGTGGCTCAGTGATTTTCTTATTTACATGAAAAACTTAAAATCAAAGAACGAAAGATTAATTGCGGAAGCAATTAATCTGACTATATATTATTTTTAGGACTAGAATAAACTGGCAGTTTATCCGCCTAACTTTTCGCTTTCTTATCACTGAATCTGATAAGTTTATCTCACTATAACATCGTCGAGGCACGAGTAATGCAATTTTTATACAAATATTTTTCAATAACATTTATATGTGTTATCGAGCACCATTTATACAAAATCAAAGAACCTGTGCAGTACTCGAGTCATGTTCAAAGAAGCAAGTTCTTTGTGTCCTGTTAAAAATATGTCTCGGAAAGCAAGTGTTTTGGAAAATTGTGAAAATGAAAAGAGTACAATACCGCATTGCCCGAAAAAAAAAAACGAGAACGTAGGGCAAAGAATAAAGCATTCTTTAAAAGCGAAGGTGAATGGCAAAGAAGGTGGAAAAGTAAACAGCTGCTCCAATGCTCATTTACAAGACGAGCTCCAAAGTGTCCTTAAACAGGTAAAACAGTAATTGAGATTTGCTTAAACTCTTAGTATTCGTTTTACATGTAATATCGCTTACAAATTGAATTTTACAGAAGCGAGAAAAAGCTTGTCAAAGAAGAAAGGCACAGCAGAAGTCGGAAGAATTAAAAAGTCTAAGGTTCGAATGCAACAGCACCAAAGAAGTCGTAGATGTTGAAGATCAAAATAAATCTAAAGCTCAGAAACCTTCCAAAACGGCAAAAAAAAAGGATAAATTTTCAGAACATGTTACCGTAAAGCAAGTTCGAGAACTTTTAAAGAATCAGAATTCAGAGAACGCGGAATATGTAGAAGGACATTTGCGCATTAATCCGAAATTTTGTAAATATGCGTATCTATCGCTGTCCGACGACGAACCAGATTTAGTAATTATCGGAGTAATAGACAGAAATCGTGCTTTGGACGGAGATCTTGTTGTAGTCCATATAAATCCTCCAACAATGTGGGAGTCAGAAAACCGAAAGACAGGCGTTGTTGTTTCTATATTAGAAAAAATACATCCGAGGCTAGTGGTGGGACATTTAAAACGTGAAGGAGCATTTTTACATTTTTATTCTAGAGATAAACGTACGCCGAACCTTGAGATAAATCAAAAGAAAGATCCATTAATGAAAGGCTCGACCACGATAGAAGAAGATAAATTATATTTAGCTAGAATTAGCGACTGGATAAAACCTAAATTTGCAAATGGGTATGAATAATATGGGTATAATCCTGATTATATTTATTTATTATAACGCATTAAAAACTGTAAATAGTAAAAATGACTAATACTTTACATTGATCGCAGGAAACTTGTAAAAATGATTGGTGCAGCAGGCGATATATCTGCAGAATCGAATGCAATATTGCTTGAACTTAATTTAGATACAACACCGTATAACGAAGAAACGACGAAAGGACTTCCAAACAAAGATTACTCGTTAACGGAAAAAGATATTAACGATCGGGAAGACTGGAGGAACGAATGTATATTTACTATTGACCCCGATACTGCTGTTGATTTAGACGATGCAGTTTCTTGTAAACCCTTAGAAAACGGAAACTACGAAGTAATTTTCTTGTTATTTAAAATAATTTCTTATGCAATTATTTGTTCATATACTTAGATGCTGTTGTATGCTTTCCCTATTATAGATTGGTGTACATATAGCTGATGTAACTTATTATTTGGAATTTTTATCCTCATTAGATGTACAAGTAGCAAAACGTGCTACGAGTATTTACATGACTGACAGAGTATACCACATGTTACCAAAACAATTGTGTGATGTATGTTCCCTACTACCTGGCCAAGATAGACTAGCTTTCTCTGTAATTTGTGAAATGACACCGGAAGCGAAAGTTGTGAAATACCGTTTTGCTAAGACTGTAATGAATTCTTGTTGTAAAATGTCTTATCGACACGCTCAAATATTTATTGAAGATCCGGAAAATGAAAGTTGGCCTGTGGATATGTTGCAAATAAGCGGCAATTATAATATTAACAATTTATCATCGACAGTAAACATTTTGCATCGTTTGGCTCGTAAAAGATGCGACGAGAGATTCGCGAATGGTGCTTTGGATTTGAGTCGATCAAAATTACGTATTAAACTCGATAAAACAACAGGTGAACCGATAAATTATTCTATGGAAGAACACAAAGAGAGTAACAGGTATTAATATTGCGTGTGAACTGTAGCGACACTTCAACGAAGTTATTCAAATTAATATACCTTTGTCCCGTCTATATTATATTTTAGACTTATACAAGAATTTATGCTGCTAGCCAATATGATAGTTGCAAAGTTCTTGTATGAAAAAATCCCCGAAACTGCTTTACTACGTAATCATAGAAAACCTCCCATGCTTCTCCTGAAGAAAATGGCAGATGTTCTACAAGTATTTGGAATTCATTTAGACATTGAATCATCTGGATCACTGCATGCTAGTGTTAAACGTTACGGAGAATTGCTATCGGAAAATAGCGATTTCAAGACTACAATGAAGTATAGAATGATGGTTATTAATAATCTCTGTGCTAAAACAATGAATGTACGATCTGTATAATTTATTATATAATTATCTTGATAAAATACTGAATAACTTACAAGTTTTATGTTTTTTTAGCGCGCGACTTACACCTGTTCGTCTGCAATTAAAACGGAGGTGGATTTGAGACATTATGCTTTAAATGTGTGTTATTACACGCATTTTACTTCTCCTATTAGACGATACGCTGATTGTGTGGTTCATCGATTACTTTATTCCGTCATAAAAGATGAAGCACTGCCCCCGGAATGGTCCGAAAAAAAGTGCAGACAGTAAGTTAAATACAATCAAAAACATGTAACTTGCCATTGTAATCAAGCCCCAAAACGAAATGTGTACTGAAGTTGTATATATCATTTAAGAATAGCGAAAAATTGTAATCTGAAAAAGTGGACCGCAGAAATTGCTGGAAGGCGAAGCAGCGAATTGTACTTTGCTTACTTGGTAGATTTGAGTGGTCCTTTTGTTACCAAGGGTATTGTATTCGACATAAAAGTAACAAATATAGGTGTAATACTGTGTGATGTAGGTATTCAATTAAGAGTTTATTTCACGAATTTAGAGAATTTAGCGACTATCGAACATTCTGTGGAATATTCGGTACCAATGATACGTATTTCGTGGAAAAAACCTGCTGTCGTCCAGGTAATGAACCACGCGGTGAAACTTCAGCGTGACATAATAAAACTTTAATATTAATGCATTTTATATTTTTTAGGTAATCAATATTTTTACTTTACTATATTTAACGATTAAGAAAGACCCCGTAACTCTGCAGTTGACGGGAACGATCGTACAACCACATTGAAAATCAGAAGACAACATTTGCATATTTTAATGTATATCTTCAAAGAATCATTGGAATCAATATTTTTATTCGGGAGGTAGGAGATGAGAACGTCCACATACTACTTAAATTCATTTCAAAAAGATCATTGAGACAGATATCTTGACTTGCGTATACATTTTCAACGTGTACATGATATTTCGAATTGTATACAGATTTTTAGGATCAGTATACAAATAAATAGTTCTTACTTATATCTAACTTTGTACATAAAATTATGCATACCATATATAAAACATATATATACAAGTATGTATGTATGTATGTATGTATGTATATATGTATGTGTGTCGAATATTCAACGTCCAATGATAGATGGTAACTTAATTATTTAAGCGACAAAAGGTTTCGCTAATATTTTCAGGAAATATATTTCTCTTTATTTCCATTCAGTGTATAGATATTTTCTGCTTAAGTCTTAATATTTTTTACAATAAAATATGATTGCGGTAATTTTTTTGCCCAACAACATTTTCAATTAAAATGTAGATATACTTTCACGATATTCCTTGTCTGAAACTCTATTTTCTAGGGAACAGAACAGAGTTTGAAACTTTGTACATTGTAATTCAAAGACAGAGAACTTCATGTTCAACTTAAAAGATGATCAGTTTTATTGACAATAAACAAATGACGTTGAATTTCATATGTCCTTTAAATCGTATTTGTTTGATATCGCGCGTAATGTGCTTCGTAACATCGAAATAATTTCTTTTACAATGTACAAGTATAATAAAACAACAATCTCTTTTTAATTGCTCCGGCATCGTTTGCGCGTCAATAAAGTAGTGTAGCAAAAAGTAGGATCCAGTCAACAGAAGTTAATGGATCTGTTGTACTTCTGCGTAACAGAGAATATATGTTCGTAGAAGTTTTCATCGATTTGATATTGCCATTGAAAAACAATGACACTAACAACTTTAGCTGGACGCTTGTGACTGTTGTTGCGACTGAGATTTATTCCGATGTTCGTAATTCACTAGTCTTTGTCCCACGAGGTATTTGTCATTCTTTATATGTTCGTAGAGCTTCTTAAATTGTCGAATTTGAAAATATATAATCATACACACTAAGTACACCATTAGGAGGAAAGGATATAAATGTCTGGCGATGAGAATTTGTGTTTGTAGATTTGTAATCAGTAGCGGGACTATTCCATAGGCTACGGCGTATGGAACAGCTAGAGCAAGACCGGAGCAACATATTACCGGAGCCGCCAATTTGGTCACGATAAATTTTAAATCCATCTCTCTAATGCCGTCGTTGTATGCTCGTTCGATCACCATGCGAAATCTCCAATCCGGTCCCATCATTGCAATAGCTGTTACTATTTTCGTGTAGAGGACACCTAAAGCCCAATCTTGCCAGATGAATAATATTGGATTCTGTACCAATGGTACACGTAAAGGTACTACGACAACTAATTCGAGGAGGAGACCAAACAAAAGCGGTATTAGGCCAATAAGTAGAAAAAATGCAACCGACGCTTTCACGCCTATGATTGCCCAATGCTTCACTCTATCTAACACGGCTCTTCGGCCACGTGGTAGCCAAGAAAATGCTAGGGCGAGTCCTCTCGCCGCGGCCCAGCATACATACGTTCCACAAGCTACAGTGTAGAGCTCATGCACTCGTCCAGATAAAGCAACCACTGCTTCGTTCGTTTCTGAAAAAAGGAAAACCCGAAATAATATAATATTTATAGCAATGATAAGTATAATGGAGGAAGGAGCTCGAGTAAATTAGGAGCATCCTGCATATACAGAGTACAATAATATATGTTTAATCTTACCAGAACCACTCAAAGCTGGCGGCAATACTGGCGGAGATGGAGCTGGTGCTCCAACCATCCACAACGCCATTACTCTGCGTCCAAGCCAAACGGGAAGAGTCATTGCGATCAAGCTTGCGATAACGAGAGAAATACATACGCAGAACAAAAGACCGATTAATCTAGCGGGAAACCAGCGTGGTCTGACGTATGGTTGAAAAGTTGTTGGTCCGTCTCTTTGTAATAATGCCTGATGCGCGGCGCCAAGATGAAGATGTTGCGGTTCTTCGATCACCGCTGGTCCTGGATCCTCTGTCTGATCTCTTAGAAGATACGATTGGAGATCCAGCATCCAGGCCACTACTCGACACCAGCCTCTGACGAGAGATTTTAACCATGTACGGGTCTGAGTTTGTTCCAACAACGCAGGAAGAACCACTTGCAGCAACAACAATTCCAAAGAAAACTCGCTGACCTGTGTACAGAGTACCAAGGAATAACAGACATAATAACGATCGTTATCAGAGATAGAGATTATTGTTCCGGCATCGCTTACCTGAGCCTCGCTTTGAACAGTCACTGTATATGGTAAAAATCCTGGCCATGCCCATCGCAACAGTTTTACCGGCAACCATAACATTAATAAAATAGTTGTTCCAAATATAACTGTGGACGCAACGAGTCTTTTCATGTGTCTCAAAATTGGAAGATGTATCATTTCTTGGATAGGGGAAAAGTCGGGATCGTTCAAGTTCCTCAAGAACCACAGTACCCCAGGCCGCAACACTTCCCGTAACAGTAGAATAAATGAAGCAAAATAATATATATAAATCATTCCAACCAACCAATGAATAAACATCGAAGTGCCAGGAGCTAATCGGAACGAGGACTCTCTGTCTCTGAGCGTAGCGTCGAACATTGCCAACGAACACATATCTAACCACCAACCGCACACCAAAGGCAGTACACCTATCTCCACGACGGATAGTAAAGAAACCTTTACTATAACATAACATAAACCTAGTATACGCTGCGAATCGTAAAAACCTAATAGACCTGCAAGTGTATGAAGAACTACCAAACAGATCCCGATCACATAATAACCGCACAATGTCGTTACTAGTCCTTCGAAATGGGATGCAGCTGCATAATCTTGTAATCCCAATCCCGCTATTGCAAAGCTACCGATATGGTAGGGACAAAAAGCGAAAACCTGAAAAATATATAGGTCATTTCGATTAGTGGAATTTAATTTTGTTTTGCTGAAACATCAATGAGTTTTACCATGATAAATAGAGTATTCAAGGACACGACCCAGAACACGTGTTCAAGAAAAGCTAAGGAACCATCTAAACCAAGAAGACGTTCCCAAGTTAATTCTTCAGCCGGTCTATCCCATTCCATTGGATTCCAATTGGCTTCTTCGGCTTCACCTTGTGCTTGACCCTGACCTTGATCTCTCCATCCTTCGGCAGCTCTAGCATTTGCTTGTTCACCGTCTACCCTCAATTCTTCTCTAGGAGGTACTGGTGGTTGTTCAATGTTTCTAGGAGGTGTAGGTACTTCCATGTCTCTAGGAGGTATCAACGGTTCTATATCTCTGGGAGCTACAGGTAGTTCCAAATCCTCAGGCAGCAGATTTAACTCTTGCTCCACGTTTCTTAGAGCTCCTCGTCTCACCAGTTCGTTTTCTCTAGCGATTCTTTCGGTTATATCTATCCTTCGATGTTCTTCTAAATTGTTATTCTCTACCCTATGTTCTTCTTCATTCGCATCCCCAGGAAAATGAAGTACATTCATTACCAAATGAGGAGGTTCGTCCACAAAAGGTGGGACATTATTATTATCTTGAATTTCCTGTTGCAAAAGGGCTCTTTGCCTCTGAAGTATGTTCGCGTGTAATGGATTGTTAACCACTGGCACTACCACTATATCTCTTTCGAGCCAATCTGGACCATCGGCGTGCAAAATTTGTTCTCTTAACCATACCAAACCGATGAACGCGAACAGCGTACATGAAACTACAAGACTGCCGTGAAATAAGTCTGACGATATATTTTCTGTGGATAGCATGTCCCTTGGTAACGACATTATCTATATAAACGACAAGAATACGATATTGCGTTTAGTGAGAAAAAAGAAGTTTGTACAACATGGAATACTTACTCGAATCAGATCTAGAGGCCCACTGAATAAAGCTCTGTAAGTTCTGCAAGCAGTTAATGGAACAACACCAAGCCATGCTATTGCAACTAAAGTATAATGTAGCCAATATTTGACGGCTGTGATTATGTTTGAAAATAATCCACCGATTACATCTCTTAATGGTAGACGGCGAGGCATGTCTGGGCTATAGATTGGTGTAAATGAAAAACGATATCCACATAGTTCACAGTATTCTTTGCGCGAGTAACGCATCCATTGCACTAAACATTCTTGATGTATCCATTTGATGCTACCGGTACAGATACAAGGATGAAACAGTGGTCTATCGGCAAGACCCTCGGATCGACAGACCCTGCAGATATCTGCACCCAACATGTCTTCTGTCATGTTTGGTTTGTCTTTAAATAACTGATTAGAGTAACAACGTTGCTGAAAAATAAAACAATTATCATAGAATGGATACAGAATCAACCAAGGTGCATACTATTTATGGTATTACGAAAAATTGAGATACAAACGATAATCGTTACTCGTCGTAAATAAAGATTTTCTTGATCATAAAAATTCTTTATAGAACTAACCCCAAAATTTTGAAATGTCAACCGTGGAAAACTGTAGCATTTAATAATTACGACGAAAAAAAATAAAACGTTCTGTCGATGGCAGAGAAGACAATATTGAACACGAAGTACGTACAATATTTATTCGATGGAAAATAAATGACTTTCATATTCATAAATATTATCCGGGATTTAGTTATCGTTTACTCACCTGAGTCACCTGTGCTTTGACGGAAACGCATGAAATCCAAAACTATCATGCAAAATATTGAAAATGTCTACTGTTACTTACAGCTCTTTCTTTTTTACGTTAACATAGTTGCAACATTTGCGACGCTAAAGTTACTGTTCAGTGCGAGAAGTATCGGTCATAATATTTTTAGCCAGTCGGTGCGTCATCTTTCAATAAAAGTATACTTCTCTAAAGATTTTATTACCGTTATCAGGCTATCGTTGACCGTTTGATCATCGTTTGATCTAGAATAAGTTTTTGTCAATAGGGATATTGTGATATTAAGTTTTGCTTATTGCTTGACACAGTTCAAGTGCGTACAGTTCGCTCGAGTAACGCACGAGTATGAGTAACGTAAACGTAAACGACGGTTACCGAAACCGAAAGTTTCTCTAATTTTATGCGTTTATGTGTCCGAACTGGTACGAGCTATACGTATTTGAATTATTTAAACGGAATGTAAAGTGCTTAGGGAACACACAGTCCTATTGACTGTGACCAGATGACTGACAAAGACAAGGAATAAGTATGCGCATAATTGTACATACATTCTAGTTCGTATCAAAGCGAATTCAACGCCTGCAATAACATGGAATGAAAACGCATTTACTCGTCGGTAAATAATTGATTACCAGTTTCAGCGTTTTGCCACAGATTTGATAACGCCACTATGGCGCTGGCAGCATTCAAATTCTTGGGAAGTACATTACATATATATGTTGCATATGGATAAGTTGTGTACGTGGGGTCATGGGTTACACATGTACGATATGTACATATTCTAACCCATTTTACTAATGTGTAAAGACTGCTGTTAAATAGAATGTAAGGGTGATGACAAATATTTCATTTTAGATACGAGATGAGAAGACATACGTGACTACACATCTGCATTTAAACGTTGAAACGTACATAAAATCCGCGATACGTAGCCATAATGCCTTTATTTTCTAACAAGTTCTCTCCAAAACAGACGCCTACTAGAAAAGCTGGCGTCTTTTTAGTAAATAAGGATTTAAGTCCTCAACGAATTGAAAAGGAACTTGGACCGAATGTGGGTCCTATACGTTTAAAGTTAGGAGATCAAGAAGCTATTTTTCAATCTGGTTTATGGATTCCAGGTATAACGCGTTGTGAAGCAGCATCGATGCAATAATCTCTCTATTAAATGATATCGAATGTATCTTGTATTTCAGAATCTGGCAAGATTGGAGGAACTTTCAAAGAAAATGAAAAGCTTAAGAATGAAATAAGACGATTAGAGGAAGAAAATAATTTACTGAAGTTAAAATTTGAAGTGCTTCTCGACATGGTTGGTGTCTTCGTATTTATTTAAAGTACAAATGGTTGTAGAGTATTTTTAATCTAGTGCCAGTGTATCGTTTCATTTATACTTTCCAGTTGACACAGACAATGGCAGAATTTAACCTGCAAAGAAATGAATTGGATAGATTGAAAAGAAATTAACTGCATCAGAAAGGTGCTTAATCTATACATATTGTTTAATTAACCGAATCTTAATGTATAAATATGCCCAAAGTTAATATCTATCGTCATTGTCAGCCTTATTTTACATTTTGTAGGTATTTTTATTCTCTATTGTACACTTTACAATGTGTAAGACAAGGACAGCGATAGACTCGTCCGGTGGCGCCATCCACGGCGAAACGCTCAAACTGTTAGCCAAGTTACATATTTGACTACCAGTATCCTGCCTAACGCTTTTACACGTCGGTATTTAAATACCAGTTTCGAAATTTTTACTTTTTAACATAATAAATTGCTCGAAATTACGAAATTAGACCCTTTTAAAATTGAAATTTGCTCAGAATTGTGAATTCCTATTTTGCAGCTCTTCTAAGGTGCTCAAAAGAGACTTATTAAAGATATATATATATATAGTCTCTTAAGATAAATTTGACGATGGATTCGGAATCTGTGATTCCTGTGCGAAAGGAAATTCACTATCAACTACCGTATTGTATAATAACTGTCTGACATCGCAGAGAACTAAGAATTACGGCATAGTCCCAAAGAAAACTTTGACTGCTCATCCATCCGGAGAATACTGATCTCTCGTTACATTTTCTAGCGATCCACGCTTGGCAAATCGACCCTCTTTCTTTTTGCCGCGGTTTTGGCGGTGGCGTGATCTTTCGAAGCGAGGGAGGGCAGCGTGCAGCATTTGGATTCCGCGACGAGCAAACCTTTGTGCTGCAATCTCTTGATATAAGTCGTGTTCGGCACGACAGAGACAGATCCAAAGTAACAAACTTCCTTTGGCCGAGTGATGGACACCGGCGAAGGTCTCTGCGATTCTTCCGGCTCCGTGGGCTCCCGTTCCGCTTTGTCGTTGGTCAGTCCGTCCTTGAGCGAGGTCAAGTGCCATCTGAAAACGAGCAGAACGATTGGAACGCGAGGACCTGGCAAACGGAAGAGAAGCCTCGCACGCGAGTCGATCCCGGGATAATCCTGGGCCTGGATAACAAATACCTGCCGGTGCTCAAGCGACAAACCCTGCCCGGTGACTCGCCCGAGAGAAGGCTGAGCCTTCTCTCTTCGATCCTCTTGGTTATCAGAGAGTTCGTCAAGGTCTCCTTAGCCAAGCAAGCCTGCAGCTCGACGAGAAAATTCTCCGCGAAGCCGTCCTGCTGGAACAACGAGTGCAGCAGCAGGGTCGAACAACTTGGCCGGATATCGGGATCCATACAGAGGCACTGAGACAGAAAGTCTACCGGCCCGGCCTCCCAGGTTGGGAACAGTTTGTGGATCGCCGTGGTTCCGGTCAGAGGAGGCCCAACGAGTTCGTCCGCGCTCGTATGCCGCAACACCCTGCCGGGCACGGTGCGACCCAGCAGCGTCATATGCTTTCTGCACAACCCTCCTGTGCAAATCCGTGCAAGCATGGTTCAGAGCTTATTATTCATTATTATTTAAACGATTTCGAACCAGCAAATCGTTCGGCCGCGTCTCGTGGTAGCAGCAGTGGGGAACAGTGGGAACAGAGAAAGACGCAACGACGTTATCGTTCGCGCTGCTCCTTCCCTGAATAATTGATCGAACGGTTAGCGATCGATACGCATTCTTCGCGACCGCAACTCGAACGTTCCGAAACTGCGTACCGCGGTAACGTTTTGCACGGGGCTTGAAAAATCGATTCGGGCAGCGTGTCGCGCGAAGGTTCGCGTACCGAGCACTTTGGTGATTCGATAGAGCTGATCGACGTCGCTGTCCCCAGGAAACAGAGGACTTCCGGTGACCATCTCCGCGTACAAGCAGCCGGTTGCCCAGATGTCCACGGGCTTCCCGTATCTTGGCTCGCCCAGCAAGAGTTCCGGCGATCGATACCACCTCGTCGCCACGTAGTCCGTGCAGGACTCGTTCGGCCCGTTGACGAGTCGCGCGAACCCGAAGTCGCACAACTTGATCACCCCGTTCGGCGAGACGAGGATGTTCTCCGGCTTGATGTCGCGGTGCATGATCTGCAAAGAGGAAAACCAAGGGAATCATCGATTCGCGAGTTCGATCGTACCCGCTTTCCGTTCACGGCCTATTTATGCTTTACGCATAAACGTCGCGAGAAAGGGACGAAAATAATTATTCGGCTAGATAATTATCCTGCGGTAGTTTCTCGGAATTATTATAGTTGGGCGCACCGGTCACGCGATCCTCGATTCCCTCGAGGGAATCGAGGAATCGAAATAGGCTCGCATTCGCACTCACGTTGTTGGCGTGGCAGAAATTTAAGCCTCGTAGGACTTGGAAGATGTGTCGTTTCGACGTTTCGAATCCCACCCCGCCGCCACGATGTTCCAGCTCGTCGAGCAGAGTGTGGTCCAGATACTCGAACACGAGGTAGAATCGTTTTCTTCGACGGAACACCTCGATCATGTTCACCAGGTTCTCGTGGCGCAGTTTCTGCGAGAAAACGCGCTCTCGTTAACAACGACGACGCGAGGTCGGATCACGGATCCCCCGTCGTACCTTCAACATCCTAATCTCACGGAATGCCATCTTCCGCACCTGCAGGTCCTCCTCGGTCTCCAAGAACCTCTTGATCGCCACCAGCTGGCCGGTCTCTCGATGCCTGCACTTCATCACCACCCCGTAGCTACCTTCCCCCACGACTTTCATCATCTCGTACTTGTCCATCCTCTCGACTGCTTCCGGGACTCGTTTATCTTTCGATCTCGTCTTTCCGGGCGTGCGCGTCCTTCTTCACGGCGGTTGGCTTCTACTTCCGAGAAGTCGACGAATTATTGAAACGCGCGACCGGCCTAAGCACGAACAAGTCGATCGCGCGGAAGCTCGCCCATCGGTCGAGGAACGCGCTACGAGCGATCGAAGTCATTTCTCGCGAACCGAATCCCGAGATCCTAGTTCGAGTCCAAGATCAAGATCGTATCGAGTATCGAAAAGTTTCCGCGAATGATTTCGAATCGTGTGTGTCGAGGGGAACGGGCGAATCGACGCGACCGCGTGCGTGCTCGAATCGCTCCCTGGAAAACTGCGCGTTCGCGAGTCTTCAATCGACGAGCAACCCCCCAGTGAAAGCAGTTGTCGTCGTCATCGTCGTGGTCGTAGTCGTCGTAGTCGATTATCGATCAACCGGTAATTACGGCTTGGATTCCTGGTGGTCGGCCATGCACGGCTCGACGGAGCACCGAGTATTTTAAAAGAGGGTCGCGGGGGCGCGCTTACTCGTGGCTGATCGGGTTCGAGGGTGACACGAGAAGTCACGACCTACCGCTCTACACCCGACTTCGACTTTCTCCCTTCCCCTAGCCATCCCGATCCACGGGGGGCCTCGTTTCCCTCGGACATCGTTGCACGCGTCCCTTTCCTCCTCGTCGCGGCGAACCAGCCGGGAGCCACGCCGAGGAAGAAGCTTCGGCCTCGAGAATCGGAGCGCACGTGTTCCACGGCCCGGATCGGTCCCTTCCGAAAGGTGAGAGGGAACGAAATTAGCGTGGCTGAACTTTGCGTGCCGACCTCTTCTCGCGGAGGCGAAAGGTCGGTGCGCGCGGCCAAATTGCCCCCGAATGCCAGAAACTTTTCGAAGGTCTTCCCGTCCGAGCGCCGAGCAAGGTTGATCGCGATGCCGAGGATCGCTCGAATGCCGGCCTTGTTCTCCTCCGTCGACGAGGTGCACCCGGTGCTCGTGCTCGAGCTCGCGCAGGGTGCACGAGACGCGCGCGGTCGCGCGCCAACGCTTGCTCGCTTCTACTCGCGCGTATCGATTCGTTCGAAATTATTTCTCGATCGAACCGGATCGAATCCGATTCGACGAGGCAACGAACCAAGACGGAATCACGAGGATCGACGGACGGTTCTCTTGCGTCAAATTTACAGCTACGCCGATCCGAAAACGCTTCGCAAACTTTTCGACCGGAGGCATTCGCGATCCGAGACCGCGTTCAAGTCGTCGCTCGTACGTTAACGAATCGATTCGCCGAAAGCCCGGTGAACATCGTGCCCGATCGATGTATCGGGCGGTTATTTATAGAAAGGGTTCGTTGACACTTCGGAAAATCGTGCGACGAGCATCGAAGACCGATCGACGAGAACGCAGCTTTCTCCAATTTGGCAAGTTCGGGTCGGCGACGACAACGGTATCGCCGCTGCGATCTTGCGACGTTCGATTAATTCCTAATCTCTCTATAGCCTGAAGAGCCACGTACGACGAATACGTAGTCTCGGCCGAAACCGATCGCCCGATGTACTTTCCAGCTTCTCAGGGAAACTATCGTCGACTAGCTCCGCTCGATACGATCGCGAGGCAGGAATTTTGTACGTGCATTTTTCGAATCGAGGGACAACGTACGCGACAACGATATCGATCGGACGAGATTTCGCCCGTCCGCGATTGCTGTATCGTTGTATCACGGGCAACCAACTAAACCGCGTTGTTCGATTTACGCCGCGGTTGGAAGATGCGGGCTTGCAAACGTACATGAATCCGCGAGATACGAGAGGAAGGAACTCGTAGGAAATGATCGGCAATCGCGTAGGAAACCGGTGGTCGATTCCGAACGGTTCGGACGGCTGATCCGCGGTAGGAAGAGCAGGCTGTCGCCGCGCGTCGCGTCGTTCCGCGGGCGGCAAGCACTGAAATAGCCGCAAGCCGCGGCAACACATGGCGGGGGTCTTTAACGCTGCCCAAGATTCGTCCGTGCGCGTTTTTACGCGTCCCCGCGCCTCGCCGCGACGGGTCGGGTCGGGTCGGGCCGGGCCGAACCGAACCGACACTGTACAGATCACGATCGAAGCCAGTCCCTCCGAGGGAACGCATCCGTCGTAATCCGGGAAACGCGTTCGTTCCTCGCGGCTCCCGGCTCGTCGTCGCGCCTGCTCGATCTTCCGATCCTCCGGATCGAACGCGGGGAGGGAGGAGCGGTGCTCGCGAACGTCGAAACGATCGAAACGATCGAAACGATCGAAACGTACGCGCCCCGACTCGGATCTCGACGCTGGTGCGCATGAGGAGACCGCGCGCGAAGCAGTTGGCGCTTCGATCCGAGCAGAATCCAAGGAGAAACCGCTCGGCGATCCGTACCCGGAGAAGTTATCGAATTCGCGTTCGCGAAACGGGCTCGCTTCGTCATCGCCGAGGAATGGTGTCTTTCCCGCGGCCGTCCGCGACGCGCTAGCGCGTCGTCTCTCTCGATTCCGAGGATCGTCCCCAGTGGAAGCGAAGCCGTCCGAACCGACGCGACCCGCCGGGAAGCTTGGTCCGCGCGCTCTCTCGTCGGCCTCGAGGATACGCGGATGTTTCGCAGGAAGAGCCGCGAAAGGGATGAGTCGACGTCGCGATCGGTGAGAGTGATCGAGAGCCGTTCGCTCCGAGAATCCGATGATAGCCCGCGAACCTAAAGGCATGGCTGCCTGTCATCCGAGGCAAGTGGTCCAGCACTTGCGGCTGCAGGAGCCGGGTCAGATCGGGATCGGCGTCGGCGTCGGTGTCGGCAGCCAAGGTCAGAAGTCGCTTCAACAACCTCACTACTCGCCTCACCTGCTCAACTGGGTCTACCTAGCGATCACCGATCAGAATCGTGCTCAGCCTCCTCCGGACCAGGTACGTGTTACGCCGCGATTCGCTAACGGAGCGACCAACGAGTAACGCGCGAACGCTTGCGTCTTCAGGGCAAACTGCTGCCGCCGGCGATCTGGAACGGTTTCCCGACGACGACGTCGCAGCCCTATCTGCACCGGGCGGCCGTGGTCGGTGCCGGGCCCGGAGGAGCGGGTGCCGGAGCCAGGGCCCGATCGAGCCCTTGCGGTCCCCTAGGAGGCAACCTGACGGACAGCATCGGCGACCTCGCGGACCACTTTACGGAACTGGGTCTGCTCGACAGGAAACCGACCAAGAGGCCGCCGCCCAGCTATCTGTGCCACTTGTGCTTCAAAAAGGGCCACTACATCAAAGACTGTCCCGAGGTGTCTGTTCCCCCTGTTGCGAGAGAGCAACGAGAGGGCGCCGCCGCGCGCCGCGTCGTTTTCGCAAGGTTTTTCGCGGCGCTCTCGAACGACCCGCGTCGCTCGATGCAACACCGCGATACGATGCTCAATTAAACGCTAATTGACGCAACAAACGGTATCTCTGGCGAGCATGACATCATACGGTAGTCATCGGGCCGCACGGTCGACGAGTTTGGCCCCGTTAACGCGGCGTGCACGCGCCTCGCTTTTCAGAAACCGGAGATATTCCGCGGGACGGTCGTGCCTCCGTGCGCGCAGCGAGCTCGCGCGTACCAGAGTTTCCTTCGAAATGTATTTAGATCGCGAGCCGCCTCCTCTGTTTATAGTTCCGTCGAGTATGCTGGCTAGCTCGCTGCGACGCAGCTGCCTTTTCCCGGCACACCCTCCTCCCTTTCGGAATCGGGAGGAGAACGTTCGAGAATAATTCCGCGATCGCGGCGGACCTTCTCCCTTTTCCCTTTTCACCGTGGACCCGTTTCTCGAGCCACGAGCGCAGCACGGCGCTCTCGACCATGCCGATGACTAACGCGTTCAATTGAAACGTTCACCACCGTGACCACCGCGCGTCCCGATTGCAGGCGCGGCCGAAGGGCGAGGGTCTCACGCCGTACCAGGGCAACAACAGATGCTTCGGCGAGTACAAGTGTCCCAAGTGCAAACGCAAATGGATGTCGGGCAACAGCTGGGCAAATATGGGCCAAGAGTGCATGAAGTGCCGTATAAACGTCTATCCGCACAAGCAGGTGACTACGATTCCATGCTCTCCCTAGCCCCATCGGACTCGCGCTTATGTAACGCGATCGTTACGATCGTTATCACCTGTTGCGCTCTCTCTCTCTCTCTCTCTCTCTCTCTCTCTCGCTCGCCCCGGAGCGCGTTCGAACAGATCCGTTCTCGGCGGACCGGCGCAGCGTCTTCGTCGAGCAAACTAAAACTGCGTCGAAATTCAGCGGGAACCGGCGAAAGCTAATTATAGTCTTGTAATCGCGCTCCCGTTGATCGCCCGGCGCTGCGCGCAGAATATACGCCCGATCGTTTCGTTTTACGCGGAAACTCCGACCGCCGTTTCGCTCGCCTCGCTCGAAAGCGAGAAGCCTTCTCTTCCGTCCGACGCCGACCGACGCGATCCGAATCGAGGTATTTTTAGTCGACGCGGCCGAATAAAACTTTTCAAAGGAAAATATAAATATCGTTGGCCACGAGTCTCGCGGAAACGCAGAGTCGCGGGTCCCGTTGTTCCNATCGCCGAGGAATGGTGTCTTTCCCGCGGCCGTCCGCGACGCGCTAGCGCGTCGTCTCTCTCGATTCCGAGGATCGTCCCCAGTGGAAGCGAAGCCGTCCGAACCGACGCGACCCGCCGGGAAGCTTGGTCCGCGCGCTCTCTCGTCGGCCTCGAGGATACGCGGATGTTTCGCAGGAAGAGCCGCGAAAGGGATGAGTCGACGTCGCGATCGGTGAGAGTGATCGAGAGCCGTTCGCTCCGAGAATCCGATGATAGCCCGCGAACCTAAAGGCATGGCTGCCTGTCATCCGAGGCAAGTGGTCCAGCACTTGCGGCTGCAGGAGCCGGGTCAGATCGGGATCGGCGTCGGCGTCGGTGTCGGCAGCCAAGGTCAGAAGTCGCTTCAACAACCTCACTACTCGCCTCACCTGCTCAACTGGGTCTACCTAGCGATCACCGATCAGAATCGTGCTCAGCCTCCTCCGGACCAGGTACGTGTTACGCCGCGATTCGCTAACGGAGCGACCAACGAGTAACGCGCGAACGCTTGCGTCTTCAGGGCAAACTGCTGCCGCCGGCGATCTGGAACGGTTTCCCGACGACGACGTCGCAGCCCTATCTGCACCGGGCGGCCGTGGTCGGTGCCGGGCCCGGAGGAGCGGGTGCCGGAGCCAGGGCCCGATCGAGCCCTTGCGGTCCCCTAGGAGGCAACCTGACGGACAGCATCGGCGACCTCGCGGACCACTTTACGGAACTGGGTCTGCTCGACAGGAAACCGACCAAGAGGCCGCCGCCCAGCTATCTGTGCCACTTGTGCTTCAAAAAGGGCCACTACATCAAAGACTGTCCCGAGGTGTCTGTTCCCCCTGTTGCGAGAGAGCAACGAGAGGGCGCCGCCGCGCGCCGCGTCGTTTTCGCAAGGTTTTTCGCGGCGCTCTCGAACGACCCGCGTCGCTCGATGCAACACCGCGATACGATGCTCAATTAAACGCTAATTGACGCAACAAACGGTATCTCTGGCGAGCATGACATCATACGGTAGTCATCGGGCCGCACGGTCGACGAGTTTGGCCCCGTTAACGCGGCGTGCACGCGCCTCGCTTTTCAGAAACCGGAGATATTCCGCGGGACGGTCGTGCCTCCGTGCGCGCAGCGAGCTCGCGCGTACCAGAGTTTCCTTCGAAATGTATTTAGATCGCGAGCCGCCTCCTCTGTTTATAGTTCCGTCGAGTATGCTGGCTAGCTCGCTGCGACGCAGCTGCCTTTTCCCGGCACACCCTCCTCCCTTTCGGAATCGGGAGGAGAACGTTCGAGAATAATTCCGCGATCGCGGCGGACCTTCTCCCTTTTCCCTTTTCACCGTGGACCCGTTTCTCGAGCCACGAGCGCAGCACGGCGCTCTCGACCATGCCGATGACTAACGCGTTCAATTGAAACGTTCACCACCGTGACCACCGCGCGTCCCGATTGCAGGCGCGGCCGAAGGGCGAGGGTCTCACGCCGTACCAGGGCAACAACAGATGCTTCGGCGAGTACAAGTGTCCCAAGTGCAAACGCAAATGGATGTCGGGCAACAGCTGGGCAAATATGGGCCAAGAGTGCATGAAGTGCCGTATAAACGTCTATCCGCACAAGCAGGTGACTACGATTCCATGCTCTCCCTAGCCCCATCGGACTCGCGCTTATGTAACGCGATCGTTACGATCGTTATCACCTGTTGCGCTCTCTCTCTCTCTCTCTCTCTCTCTCTCTCTCGCTCGCCCCGGAGCGCGTTCGAACAGATCCGTTCTCGGCGGACCGGCGCAGCGTCTTCGTCGAGCAAACTAAAACTGCGTCGAAATTCAGCGGGAACCGGCGAAAGCTAATTATAGTCTTGTAATCGCGCTCCCGTTGATCGCCCGGCGCTGCGCGCAGAATATACGCCCGATCGTTTCGTTTTACGCGGAAACTCCGACCGCCGTTTCGCTCGCCTCGCTCGAAAGCGAGAAGCCTTCTCTTCCGTCCGACGCCGACCGACGCGATCCGAATCGAGGTATTTTTAGTCGACGCGGCCGAATAAAACTTTTCAAAGGAAAATATAAATATCGTTGGCCACGAGTCTCGCGGAAACGCAGAGTCGCGGGTCCCGTTGTTCCGCCAACGGTCTCCCTCCGACAGTTTTCCTCTGGCGCCCTCGGCTTCGCGTCTTCGTCCGCGTTACGCAACCGATTGATGCTCGTTGACGCCGTGATTTCAGAGACCTCTGGAGAAACCGGACGGGCTGGACGTGTCGGACCAGAGCAAGTCCCATCCGCAACACCTCTGCGAGATGTGCAAGACCCTGGGCTACTATTGCCGGAGACCGCAGTAAGCGAGCCTGGTTGGAGCTCGCCTGCAGCGATCGCGTTGCTCTGTGATAAATAAGAAGATGCGCTCGTAAAAAATCTATTTTTCTACGAGACCGCGAGGCTGCCACCCCCGTCCGCCAGCTTTCCGGAGACTATCGACGCGCTCTCGCGTCCACACAGTTTTTACTCGTCGAACCGGGAATACGGGAAAATCCGGGAGACCGGAATACGATGTAGTCAGGGACACGATGTCGATTACACCGTTCACGTGTTATTATTAATACACCGCGCCCGCGCAAATATACGCGAACCAAAGGTCTGTGTCACTGCCGTTTTCGATTCCGTTGTTCGCCGTACGCTCTCCCCTCTTCCTTCGCGCGGGACCAAAGGCGTCTCGTGCTTCATAGAAATATTTTATATCATACAATATACAGAACGAATGTACAGTGGTCAAGGATTGGTCACGGCGAATAGCCGATCCGCGGCGGGATCCTCGCTAAAATACGCCGCAGAATTAAACATCGTCGCCGCCGTAGAACTTATAGCTGTCGTCTGCAAAGAAAATATTACGATTAATCCGACTGCGTTGCGAGCCAATTCCTTTTGTGGAATCGCTTCGTTCGCTTTCCTCGACTACGGTACTACTCGTATGCGGTACACGAAACGATTCGAAGGAAAAGCAGATTCGATCTAGGCGTCGGATTCTAGACTCTTCGGCACCGGCGAGCGCGCCCGAATTCGGAGATTCGGATACAAGAAATTCCGCGAGCGTTTTTCGCCCCGATCTCCGCTTCGTCGTTTGCTCGATCGCGGGCTGAAATAGCTCGAGGAACGGTTCAAACAAAATCGAGCGAACGCGACCCCGAATGAAAAATCGATCTAAAAATCGAAATCGAAATAGAAGGCAGAGACGATTCGCGAGCTCCTGCTAAAATGCGAGACATTGATTCACCTCGGACGAGTTCGCGCTATGCGAGGAGTTCACCGTTCCAACGTGTTGCTGTTTCTGCTTATAGAGTAAATGCTGTACAGAGTGTTGTCTAGGCGAGGACTGCTGCTGCTGTTGCTGCTGCTGTTGCCGCCGATCCTCGTATTCGGCCGCGACAACGTGATCCTGCTCGTTCTCGATCTTTGGTATTCGCTCGAGATACGCTTCGGTGGCGTTGGTCGTGTGCTCGCCGACGATCGTCGACCGACAGACGGATTGACACACGTCGAATACCTGTTGCGCGGCCGGCTGTACGGCGACGGGGCTCGATACGCTCGGAGGCTGTTGATTCACCAGCGTGATCACCTGTTGCGGTTCTTTGTAGTCGAACAACGGAACCGTCACGGAGATGGCGTTCACGTTCGTGTTCGCGTTCGAGATCACCGAGCCGGGGTTGGTCCCCGATTCCGACGGGGCGACTTCCGCGTTCGCGTCCTGATGCAACGACAGCGAGTTCGGCGGTTCCGGGACACCGTTGTCCGGTTGCGGCGCTATCGAGCCCGTAAACGACGGTTGCTGTTGCTCCACCAAGCTGATCACATGCGGGATCTGCTGCGCCTGCGACGCCGGAGGCGGCGGCGGCGGCGGCGGTGGCTCTGGGAAAAGTACGTCCTTCAGATCGGGCAGGAACGCGTCGATGGTTCTCCAAGTGGGCGCCCACAGATTCGAGTCGGGCACGAGAACGTTGGTGGAAGACATCACGAGCAACATGTTCTTCAGCGATTCCGGTATTGCTTCGAACAGGAGCTCGCTGCTGTCCGCGTGCATGTAAGCGCGTAGCAGATCCAGAACGGTCAGCCACAGAGGTAGAAATCCGGGAAGAGTCAGCAGAGGGTTCAGATGATGAAGAAAGACCTTGGACAGCAGCTGGGCCGCTCTGACTCTCGTTTCCTCGACTCCGACCGGGTCGTTCGACGCGATCGGTCCCAGCAGTTGAGCGAGCAATGGAAAGAGCACCTGTTCCAGACACTGGGACCACTCGATCGCCGACAATTGACCCAAGTCGTGAGCCAAAAGCGTGCTCTGCAGATAGGTGATGGCCGCCGTGCGTACCGGTCGTCGCGCGTCGCAGCACAACCTCGCGATACCTTGCAACAGAGGCCTCCAGACCTGCGGCCACAGCGACACCGATTGCTCGGCGTTCCCCCCCTCTTCCGCCCACCATCTGAACACCTGAGCGGTGCGAGTGTGCAACGTGTGCATCAGCTCCAACAGTTGAATCGGACTCTCCTGGTAGCCGGCCGGTTCCTCCGTCGTCGCGTGAACCCTGCTTCTCTTGCCCGAGCATTGCAGGACCGCCTCGGCGAAGGTCCTCACGCAACGAATGCACAGTTCAAAGTTGAACGGAGTGACGTGCGCCACGTCTCTGACCAGAAACGTCAAGCTGTCGCAGCACTTGACCAGCGCGGCCGGGTCGTGCTGCTGCAGGTCCCGATCGAGGACGATCGTGTCGGCCGCCACTGGCAGAGGCGCCTCCGTCCCCGTCGGCGACATCAACATCCATTCCGGCACCGGACTGATGGGCCTAGGATCCAACACCGATGTTCTGGAGTTCGCTGCCTCGTCCAACACCGGATTCGACTGCTTCGGCGACAGCGCGCCGGCGCCGGCGCATTCCAAAAGACTGAACACCACCTTCCAGTCTTCCGTGCTGTGAATGTTGGCAGCGCCGATCTTCAGCAGCTCGAACAAGCCGTACGCGATTTGTCGGGCGAGAGGCGCGGTGGTCGCCGAAGGCAAATGAGTCAACGGCAACAGAGGGGGCAACACGGTCCACGCGCATTCTTCTCCTCGCAGCAGTCTGATGGCCAATCTCAGCATTCCAACCGCTACCCTCTCCAGCAGATACGGATGATTCTCCCTCGCGGCCGTTGTCAGCAGACCGTCCAAGTGAGCCTTCACTATCGGCCAAACGCACGTCACCCTGTCGCGATTCTGAATGGTCACCTCCAACAGGAGTTCCAGCAGGAATACCGACACGTCTTCGTCTTGGTGGTTGGTGAATACCAGAGCACCGACGAGAGACCGAAGCGATTCGACCTCCAAGAATTTGCTGTCCTCGATGATCTGTTCGAGATAGCAGCTGGCCACGAACTCGGTCGCCTTTTTCCTCGTGGTCGCTTCCGCCGGCTGAGATATGCGCGAGGTGTCTTGAGCGATGTACGAGTACAAACTGGAGAATATTCCTTGATCGGTGGGCGGCGGTTTGGGCGTGGTCGATTCGCGAAGCAGAGATATCTTTCCGGACGGATCGATAAAGTCCTCTCCTTCGGTCAGACCCTTTGGAAGCAACCTTGCTTTGTACAACGACTGCAGACAGTCGACTATGTTCTTCCACGAGGCTCTCATCGCGTCCCCGTCCATGTGAATGATCTTGAAGAGGGCTCTCACGGCTAGCTGGCACCTGCCGCTTCTTCCGAGATACAACACCACTTGATCGGGTTCGCCACCGGTCGCCAAGCCCGTGAACTTGCACAAACTGACCACGAGCGTGTCGAAATCGCTGTTCATACTGTAGTGAGCGCTTATCGAGGCACACCTGCAAGCGAAAAGCTATTACCGTTTTCGTTCGGATCGCGTTCGATACCGAATTCGCAGAGGTGTCAAACGAACCGGAGGAACATGTCGGCAACTCGCCGCTGCAACGACCTATCGGGTGCTTTGTCGTACGCGCGGCAAAGCGCGCTAATTATCGATGCCCAAGCCTGTTCGGCCAGCTCCTTGTCCACGAATTCGCCAGAGTTTCCAACTTTCAGGTAGACGCTTTCGGGCCCTGCGCCTCTACGCAACAGTACTTTCCATAAATAATTCGACTTCACCAATCCCGTCTGTTCCGCCGGCATTACGATCTCCTCGCTCCTAATAACGTTGGATCGTTAAACGGGAAACGAAGCTGTTCGCGCGTCGCGCGTGCACGAAACCTGAAAGGATTCTTACTTGATGGAACAATAAATTTCGTCGAGCATATCTTGATCGAAATCGGATCCACCGTTGACCTTCTTCAGATTCCGTTTAAACTCGTCGGCGGTCATCGGATTGTTCTGCCGTTTTACGTTGTAATTGTGCTGATCAACGTTCAACATGATCACAGCGTATGCCAAGGTAAACGCGGCGTCCGCCGATTCGAACGGCTTGCCATTGCTATCCTGGGTAAACAGAGACAGCGATTCTTTATGCGTGCGCTGGTTGCCTCACCGACGACGATATAAATATTTTGCTAAAATCGAACAGCAAACTCACGTGCCAATGTTCCGCGAACTTCTCGAGCAACAAAGAGATGAGTGGCGCTTCGCCAGGAAGACGGAATGATTCCAAATAAAGACGTAGGGCTTGATCGACGCGCGTGTTTCTCAAATCGAAGCTATGAACGAAACAATTTAAAACATTTTTATTCTCCTTCTTGCTGATGTACTCTCCGATAGCTTTCTTGTCGAGGCTGGGATTCTCCTTCAAAAATTTCGCAACCTTCTCCGGATCGGGATTGCCGGGGCTTCCACCCAACAGGCCGTGTTCCGTCAGCTTGGCGATACCTTCCCGCGGGCTCTCGTTAAATTTTTCCGTTCCCACCACCAACCACTGTAATCGAGAAAATCGCGGAACGATCAAACTCGATCTGTATTAGGGCGGCGCGTTGTGCGACGACAACGACGAAAACTTACCCTCTTGTTAGCTTTTATGGCGAGCAATTCTTCCCGCGTCGGTAGATTCGGCGAAGCACCGTGTCGCGAAGGTTTGCACAAATCTTTGTACCCTTTGCATCTGACTTCCATGCCAGATACCAGCATAATTATAGCGTCCAACGAGATGAACTGCATACTGTACATTGTGCCCATGAACGCGGAAGCATTCTAACGTCAGAAATTGAACGCATAGAAAGATTCTGTCACCGAATCGATTATCCTGTTGCTCGATACAAAATATATCCACATATATACCTTCGACAGAAGCTTCATCAGTTCGTCGTACAAATTGGTCGAATACAAGCCGCAGTCGTAATTTAGATACAGTTCGGCAGGCAATCCTGGTATTCTCCACAGCCTCACGATCGCATCTGAAACGAACGAAGGCAACGATCGCATCAGAAAACGTTAAACTGCTTCCGTCGCGGTTGTATTCGTACCGAGCGCCAATTCTCGTTGATCGTACAATATCCTGTTCGAGTCCGAGTACACGATTTCCATTAATTTCATTATGTAATGCTCCATTTGGAATTTCAAGTGTTCCCTCTGCGATTCGAACAATAGAAAGGACACTTGCAAGTCGGCGGCGAGGATCGACAGTCGATCTGTGCCGAGAAGCTGGCGAATTCGAACGATTAAATTGCTGGATCGGTTTCGTTCAAGCATACTAATGCATGTGTTTCCGCCTTACCAAAATCAAGTTTCTGCAAAGATCGTCTTTCACGAGGGCAAGCAACGAGGGAAAATTGGTTAGGGCATCGGCAGAAATCTCCAACGCCACTTGCAACAGGTTGAGACCGAGATGGGTCATTACTCCGTTGTTCTGTTTGTCGAGAGGGTTACAGAGAGACACGAGAAACCGAAACAATTCACGAATGCATAGAGCACCGTACGGTACCAATTGTTGAAGCGGCATGAAACGAACTCCTTGAGCGTTAATGTACTCTTCGATTTGTTCGGGTTCTTTAATTTTCAAAACTTTGTATCCGCTGTTGGTGCTCTCGTCCAACGACAAATCCTCCACGCTTCCTGTCGGCGACTGTATCAACTCCGGGCTCTTTTCGTCCTCCACCGCTTGGTTCTCTACAAAAAATAACGCGTACCAGTCACTGTTAGCAAGTTCGAAACCTAAACGAGACACAATGGCCTAGATCGTTTTACTTACCTTGACTCTCTTGTTTCACCGCCGACGTTTCTTTCGTTTCACTTTGCTCCTCCTTCTCATCTTTTTCCACGCCTCTGCACTCTTCCTGTTGCAACTGTTCCTTCTCCTGCGCATCGTTTGTACTTTGTACAGTACTATCGCAGTTATCCTTACATTTCGATGTATCTTCCGCATTCTCTTCTTTTCCCTTCGCTTCCGCATCGTCTTGCTGTTTCGAAATCTCATTCTTCCCGTTCGATTCCTTTTTACCGTTGTCCTTGTTCTCGTCCTCGGGGTTCTCCGTGTTCCCTTGATCCATGGATCCTTGCATATCGACGATATTTCCTGTAGAAGCAACAGGCGACGTCGCCAAATGACTCGGTTTCACCCTATCGACGGAGTTCAAAAGCTGAGCTTCGCTGTCGTCCGTGTCTTCCGGGTTTGGCTTTGATTTTTGCTTGAAATGATTCTTATTTTTCCTATTCTTGCTACGAGTATTTTCCATGCCGTCGGTTCTCATCTTCTTCATGTTCAATAACGCCCTCGTGTCGTCCGCAAACTGCGGTAAACGAATGAAGAGATGCTGCACCATGTCTCTCAGACAATGTTCCGCCGTTTTCCTCAACAATTCGCTGAGATGCGACCCAAAACATATCCTGAAACAACTGAGCATTATTTCGCAAATGCTCTCGTTCGACAGATAATCTCCGGCCGGCGACAAAGTGAGAGCTCTTAGAACCTGAAGTATTCTCATTAGAACAACTCCATCGCCGGAGGCATCGGTCCCCACAAATCTTGCGTGCGTTACCGCGTCTGCGACAGCTTCGACGCAGTGAGCTACCGCGGTACAATCCGGATCTGCGACAGCGACAAATTATTATTATTGCTCCGTACCTGTTCTCGAGTAATCATTTTTGCAACCTGTAACAAATGGGTTAAACAAGGCGTACCGATCAAGCCGTAAGATATCATTTTGTTAACAGCAGACAACGCGAGACTGGTAACAGGTCCCGTTGTTTCTTCCGATCTAATGATTTCCAGAAACGGAGCTAGAAACATTCCAGGCTCCAACTGAGATAAATCTCTCGCTTCGTTCAAAACATCCTTTAAGTTGGACAAGCCTTTCATGAGAGCATCCTGGTCTTCTTCCTAAGGAACAATCGTGAACAAGCGAGCGTAAGCATACTGACGGGTGTTACCATACTGATTCTTACAAGTTGTTCGTTTTAACAACCATAAAAATAAACGCACGTGACCGCACGGTCGTTCGCTAAGCCTACATGTATTACCGCGCCCGTACGCGTATTCTTTGGTTCATTGTAGAAGAAACGAACGATTTTCCTCTGCAGATGGAAGAAATTGACATGTTCTAACCTGATGAGAATGCGAAGACCATCGGGTACCTCGTCTCATAGACGTCATGAGAAGACAGACCTCGCTCTCGACGACATAGAGACCACCTCCTGGACAAGCCATTTTCGCGATCCTGCTCATCGTCCCGTAGGTTTTAATTCTTACACCATTTTTACCCCGAGGAAACCTTACAAACAGTTCGATAATTCGTAACGTCAAGTGTCAAAAGAACACTTCCAACCCAACTTCCAACACGATAGACATCGACTGGTTAATTAGGAAAGATGTTCAACGACCAACCACGCTTTGAACGTCACTGCCTTGCCCATCTGTTGAGAGAACTCTAAATCTAGACCCCAGACGAGGTTTGCTACTGGACGATGGTGGTGCCTCTTTCGGAGAAAGAATGAAGCTCCGTTCGAGGTCAGTACAGCGCCAATTAGTCCAGTGGCAAAACGCTCAAACTGTTAGACAAAATCGACCATCGATAATTTGGCAAACAGTTTGAGCGTTTTGCCGCTGCACCAATTGGCGCTGTACGGACGTCGAACGGAGCTTCGTTGTTTCACCGATAGAGGCGCCACATATATACAATTTTGGTTCGTCTAAAAACATTAATTATGGCAAAAATACGGCATACAAAACTAAACCAAGGGTATAGAACTGTTCAGGAGAATTTTTTGCATCTATATCGAGTAAGAAAATCAAAGGACAACAACGCAAAATATAATTAGTTGACATAATAGTTAACCAAACTTCGGAGGACAATTAATTACGTTTCGCAATGTTTTTGTTTGTTTCTTTATGCTATATCGACCCAGTAGATTCTTCTGAACAGTTCCGCGTCCTCGGTCTAGTTTGTTATGCCCTAATTTTGCCATAATTAATTTTTTCAGGCGACCATGCATTCCGAGTATGTGGCGCCTCTATCGGAAGAACAACGAAGCTCCTTTCGACGTCCGTACAGCGCCAATTGATACAGCGGCAAAACGCTCAAACCGTTAGCCAAATTACCGATGGTCGATTTTGGCTAACAGTTTGAGCGTTTTGCCGCTGCACCAATTGGCGCTGTACGGACCCCGAACAGAGCTTCTCATTTTCTCCACAAGAGGCGCCACTATCACCGTAACTATACACTTAATACAAGTCTAGGGATTTTATTTGTTTAATAAATGCAATTCAGTTTGTTAAACACTTAATTACTTACTGGATTTAATTAATTTCGATGCGATCGTTTCTGCGATGTACAAGCTTTCCTGTGTAAAGCAATCTTTATTTGAAATTAATACTTTTGGTATTTCACCGCTAGATGCCTACTCGTTCTTTGCAATCGCTACTAGTACGCTTGCGTAGAACCAGTTTCTGTGTTCCTTCGAGCTTCCTTTTCCGTTTTGATCTGAAAAAGGTTCGTTCGGTTTTTATTCGGTTTATTGTTATCCATATTATTTACAAGAATCGTTGAGTGCGACAAGGTTCGCATATTTATTTCGAGTTGTTCAATATGTTGCGATGTTATTTTCAACAATGTGTGTGGTATTTTTTTCGTAATCATAGCACTTATATTCCAGAACCAAAATGGTGCAGCGGTTAACCTATCGTCGACGATTGTCATACAATACGAAAAGCAACAGGAGACGCGTGTAAGTATTGTTTCGAATTTTAGAAGAAAATCGAGTTATTACCACTATCGACTTATGCTGTATCCGTTATTTAACCGAGATATAAACTCGATTAGGGTGGCTTTAGACTTTGCTGGCGTCTAACGCTTCGAGGTTATGTTTTTGTTTCTCCGTTCGATACGCGTGCTTGGTTTTCGGTTGAAAACGGAAACGGTTGTTGTAGCAAGCTACGGATCTTTGAAGTATAGAACGTAGTCGGTAAATGATTTTCACGATACATTTAAATCGAGTACCAACGAAAGTTATATTTCCTGTTCTAACAAAACTGTTTTTATCCAGAGTACGCACACCTGGCGGAAAGTTGGTATATCAGTATCTTAAAAAACCCAAGAAGATCCCCAGATGTGGATTATGCAAAGACAAACTGAGAGGAATCCAGCCTGCTAGACCGATGGAAAGGTCCAGAATGTGCAGGCGTAAGAAGACGGTGAAACGCGTGTACGGCGGTGTTCTTTGTCACAAATGCGTAAAAGAAAGGTACGCTCGCTTTTCGATGCCTTTCCTCGATTCCTTCTACCGAACCAATCGCCTGGTAGACCGGTATACTTACGTCTGTACTTAATCTTTTCCAGAATCGTCCGTGCTTTCCTAATCGAAGAACAGAAGATCGTCGTCAAGTATATGAAGGCGCGTAATGCAAAAACGAAAGCGGAGAAGTGATCTTTTGCTTTTTATTAATTAAATAAAATACATAAAATCGATAGTTCGTGTACACCTTGTCCTTGCAACTGTAGGATTACCGCAAAACCATTCGAACCGGGCTCGTTGTACGCCTCCTCCATCGTCGAGCAGGCTCTCACCGTACACAGTTCCTGCGAAGAGGTCTAAACGTAGCATCGACTCGTTTCTTCGAAGCATCTTTTCGACGTAATTCGCACCTGTGCGTTTTCCCGTTTGCAGGATCGTACTTGGAAACGCGGATCTTGCGCCTGTCTCGAATCTTACGGTGGCGCAACCACGCGCAGCTTCTTATCTCGGAAACTCGTGCTCGTCGAGTTCGGCGGATACCTTTCGAATATTTCGAGAGCGGGAGATTTTTCGGATCGCGACGCGCGTTGCAACGCGCAGAAGTTGCTGGACAGAAGCGCGCCGTTCACTTTCCCAATCCAGTCGGAGCGAGTACACGTTCCCTGCATGGTATAGGAATAAGAGACGAGTATTCTATTCCCCTTATGGTCAAGGAGTGCTCGCAAACCCGTCTCGTGGCGGCACGACTCGCCAGCCTCGGTGCACTCGACGAGTGCCTTATTTGCTGAATTACGAGTATGCGCGTAGAAGGCGGACCGGTGTACAACGGTGCGGTTTCCATGGCGGTGCAGAAACGACCCAAGCGAGAACCGTGCGAGTTTGTCACCTGAGAATGCGGCAGCGTGTCGGTTGTTGGGTACTTTCGTTTCGCGAAACAACCTCCGTTCGTTGTCTCCGTATCGCGGATCCGACTTTTCGATCTTATCGCGTCACGGAGCAAGAGTCTAACGTGTTCCAGCTCACCGTCGCCCCTTTTTTGTTCTCTCTCTCTCTCTCTCTCTCTCTCTATTTATATATATATATTACTTTTTTGTTCTTTCTCTCTCTCTATTCGCTATTATATATATATATATATATATATATAGAGAGAGAGAGAGAGAACAAGAAAGCTATTGAGATAGAGAGAGAGAGAGAGAGAGAGAGAGAGCTATTGAGAGATAGAGAGAGAGAGCTATTGAGAGATAGAGAGAGAGCTATTGAGAGATAGAGAGAGAGCGAGAGAGAGCTAGAGAGAGAGCAGGAGAGCGAGAGTAAGAGCGCGAGAGGGCGAGAGATCTAGAGAGAGTGAGCGAGAAAGAGAGCAAGAGGAAAGCGAAGGAGAGAGAGAGAGAGAGAGAGAGAGAGAGTCCTCTTCCACCGTCGCCAGGTCGCGACCGGGAGGGAGCATTTACAAAAATGCTCTCCGAGGCATGGTTCGCGAATTATCGAACGAATTATAAAGCTCGCAATAATCGCGAATTGTCCATTTTTGTTCGCAAGCTGAACCGAGGAGAATTTATTGTTAACCTCTTAGGCACGACGCGTCACTATAGTGGCTTCCTCGGATCATTTGAAGCAGCTTCTTCCTTTACAAAAATGTTCTCCGAGGCACCGTTAACGAGTTATCAAAGGAAAACAGTGACCAATAAGAATCGAGTACGGCTGACGCGAGGCGGCCCAGCCGACCAGCGCGCGAAGCCCGGTTCCGCTCATTGCCTCGGTCGCCTCGCGCCAACCGAGCTCGCCTCTCATTGGTCACTATTCTTCGTTGATAACTCGTTAACGGTGCCTCGGAGAAAATTGTTGTAAAGGAAAAAGTTGCTTCGAATGACCCAAGGAACCCGCCACTTTCGGATTGCGAGACATTTTTGGGACACCCTGTAGTGGCTCGATCTAGTAGCTCACTCGTCCTCCGTTTGAATGAAATAATCATCTTCCTATGCATTGTATCACACTAATTTTGTCTTCACATCGATTTACAACAGTGTTAACAATATATAGACAGAATACATACAACCTCGCGCAGAATTCAGCCGTACCTAAAAGGTTAAAGCATAACCGAGTCTAGCGCAGCGATCCAAGGAAAATCGAAGTCCATGTTGGGCCACGCGTAACACTTCCAGCAGCTGGCTGTTGCGAGGCCGTCTATAGCAAAGCGGCCGATTAGCAGACCTCGGCCGAGTTCCAATTATCGGGACACAGGAGAGAGAGCGTGGCTTGACAAAAGGCGATCCTCGCGAGCGGATTCCTGTCGCGTGAGCACTCCCCGGTCGCCGAAGTTTCTGCGCTCCGGCCACAGAAGATGATCGCGGAGATGGTCGGCCGCGGCTCAAAGCGTCTCTCTCTCTCCGCGCCGCTCCCCGCGCCCGCGGTATGAAAATGAGGATGGCCGGTTCGGGACGTCCGTCACCCGTGATTTCCAGAAGGCCGTGAGTAATTAAGAGAACTTTGGCCAACGCTCGGAAGTTTTAATCCCCTCCCGGTCGGGATCTGGCGACGGTGGAAGAGGACTCTCTCTCTCTCTCTCTCTCTCTCNTGGTCGCCTCTCGTTCGTCTCGATAATAAGAACGCGTGGAAGAGGCGTCCGCGGCAAGAATAATAGCAGAGGATACAAGGGACATCGACGGTCGACGAGTAAAAAAGCCCCGCACGAAAACCATCTCGCTCCGAACGCCGAGGCGGCCGCGAAGGTAGTCGGCCGATTTCGAATTTTCGAGGGAACGTTTTTTGCTCGCGAGCCTGTCGATTCGCTCGATCATCCGTGTCGGAAATAATCGGCGCGGTTGGTAGGCGGTACGAGATGTTAGCGCGAGGCCACGTTTTCGTCTCGCTTCGATCGCCGCGAAATATCTTTTCCATCCGATACACCGCGAGATCTCCGACGAAAGAAAACGGATCGGTGGGGCTTCGAACATCGTCGACGAGAATCGCGTCTGGATCGGAGAGCAATGGATTTATTCGATCGCGCGAATCTACGCGTCTCTCGACGAGGACGAACGAAATTTTCGTCGGCACCGAGCGGATCGATCGATTTCCTGCGAAGCGAAGCGAAACGAAACGAACCGCAAGAAGATCGAGTCGTTGGCTGTCGACCGTTGGCCGTGTCCTGTGCCACGTCGCGTATCGAAAGAACTGGTTTACGCACGAGATAAGGCGAAGCACGATCGATTCTAATTACCAGACGGATACAAATTCGCGAGCGCCCCTCGCGAAATCGCTCGACGAACCAATTTGCTCGGTGCCGTGGTCGCCGTGGTCGCCGTGGTCGTCGCACGAATCCGTTGGTGGCAAAAGATAGCTGCTCCCTGTCGCCTTTAATTGCCCGATCAGGCTGGAAAATGCAACGGTCTCGTAAGCTGATAACGGGTCGATCGTCTGCGATTCATTTCTGGATGTAGCGTTCGACGCGACGCTAAAGCGCCGAGGATGGTTCGACGCGATAATTCGACGATCGAACGAAAACGAGAGCGAATTGAAAATCTTCGGACAGCGCGAACGATCCTAATGAAATGCGACGATCTCGTTCGAAGGTGAGCCGATAATCGGTTCGGAACAGCGTTGCTCGGCATAGTCGTTCGCTGTAATCGCAACAACCGTCGGGACGATAGCGCGAAGAGAATTTATCCGGCGTCCGAACGGAGGAATCGTCGCATCGGCCGTTATCGCGTTCGGTATCGGCGACAGCGAGGAACACGAATATTCGGAGATGTACACGCGAGAAGAACGAAGAGAACGAGAAGGAGAACGAGGCGAGAGGAAGGGGGGTCGAGAGCGCGACTTCGAAACGACAAGAGGAAACCGCGGTGCGTCGGTAGCGGGTCACGAGATCGGTTCGCGTCGCGTTTAATTGACGGTTATAAAATGCATCGGGGGGTGGAGGGAGGGGGGGGAGGCGGTGACGACGGAGGCGACGGAAAGAGAGGGAGAGAGAGCGCGCGATCGAGAATAATTTGAAGCGAGCACAAGCTCCGAGGAGGAGAGCCGCGCGATACCGCGTGATTCCTATAATTTTCAGGGCTCGTGTTTGACAAAATAACAAGTGGGTGGGTGTCGGTTTTCACACCCGCGGCTCGGCGGGGCCTCTTCGGGGAATGTAAAAAAGGGCAGAACACGAAACCGGTCCCGATGGATCTTTGTTACGCCGCGGCCCCCGCGTCCTCTCGCGCCTCCCTGCCTACTCTTGCCTTCTTGCCTGCGCGCCCCGCCTCGTCTCGCCGAGCCTCTCCGAACAAGGACCAACCGATTCAGGATCGTAGCTAGCGAGCGCTCGAGCCTCGTTCACGACCCGGCTAATTTTCTCGTTCGGTCGTCGATCGCGTTACGAAATTAGAGACTCGTCCTGCCGCGGACCGAACACGCGCCATATCTTTTGCACGCGTCGCTTTTCCAAATACTCGACTCGTTGCGCTCGGTTGCGATCTCGGCCTTCGCGTTCGTTTCGCGCGATTCCAAAGTTCCGAAGGGTCTGTCGCGATAGGATAGGATAGGATAGAATAGGACAGGAGGGTCGCCGGTCTCTCGGCTCGTTTCCTTCTCCGGCGCGGAGGGCCGTTTCTCTCGGTCTCCGAATCACGGTCGGCGGGACTGCTTCGATCGAGCACCGGTGGCCCCAATTCACACCTGACTTTTAGCGATAAAAGCCAGCTCTAAAGATATCGTTATCCCGGTCGAGCGCGCCACACGAGCCACGCTCCACGCTCCACGCTCCACGCTCGGCTCGACCCGAGGAAAGGAAACGGTTATCGCGGCAGGTAGCCCGCTCTTGCGCGCTTAATCGAGCGAATTCATTTCGTCCCGTGTCCTCGCCTCCTCTTATTTCGCCGTTAAACGTTGCCCGTCGATCGATCGTCGACCTCCGGGGATCGGCGCCGGGAGAGGAGAGCGTTCTCTGTTCTTCTCTCGTTTCGGAACGAAAGACGAGTCCGTGAATCCGCGCGACTGGAACACGGCGGGACAATGGCCTGGAAAGTCGATTACGAGAAAAGACGCCACTGGATAGCAACGCGGAAAGATCGAGCGTCCACGGAGAAGGAAAGTTTAAGAATTCTCGGCGGAATCCTCGAAGAGAGACCCCGGCGCGGGGCAGCGGGTCTCTCTCGAATCTGAAATTTGCACGAGTAAACAGCGACGCGATCTCTCTCTCTCTCTCTCTCTCTCTCTCTCTCTCTCTCTCTCGTGCCGAATTGCAGCAGAGGA